CAGATGGATGCTGAGAGATAAATTCCTCCTATTTTCTCTTTTTTCTCCTCTGTAGATTTTCTCCTCCTCTTTTCTCTCTCTCTCTTCCTCTCTTCTTCTCCCTCTTCTTGTTTATTTTATTTCTTATTTTTTTAAATATTTGATCTCCTTTCCTCTCGAACCTCAGAGCTCTGAACATCAAACATGTCTAAACTCTTCGTCGCTCAGATCAGGTCGTGACGTAAACTCGATCAACTTCAGAAATCTTCAGTCGGAGTCGGAGAGTTGGAGAAGGATTTCACTTCCTCCCTCCTTTGTCACTTCCTTACTTCCTTACATCTTTCCTTCCTTCTTCCTTTCCTTTGTCTTTCTTCCTACCTTCAACTCCCTTTATTTCTACCTTCCTTCCTTTTTTCTTTTCCTCCTTCCTTTTTCACTTTCTTTCCTGGTCTACCTTTCTTTCATTCTTCATTCCTTCTTTCTTAATTTATCTCTTCTTCTACTTCTTTTTCTTTCCCCCTTCTTTACCTCCTTTCTTCCTTCCTTTTTCTGTCTTTTATTCCTTATTGATCCCCCTTTTCACCCTTTCATTATACTCCCATCCTTCCCTTCTTCCTTCCTTTATTATCTCCTTTCTTCTTCTTTATTCTCTCCTATATTCCTTCCTTCCCTCCCTTCTTCCTTCCCTCCTTTGTTCCTTTACTTCCTTCTCTTTACCTTCCTTCATTTTTTTTCCTCCTGCTCAGTCCTTTTTTTCGTCTTCCTTCCTTTAATCCTTCCTTCTCTCCTTGCCTCCTTTCTGTCTTTTGTGACCTTCTTTAAATTCAGTGTTTTTGTACGTAACAATAATCATGGAATCTCTCCTTTATTTCTTTCCTTCCTTCCTTCCTTCCTTCCTTCCTTCCTCTCTCAGAGCAGAAAGACTGAAATAATTCCTTCCTCTCTTTTTCCTCACATCATTTCTTCCTTCTTTTTCTCCGCCTTTAGCTTTCTTTAGTCCTGATATGTGGCCTTAAACGAAGCTCCTCTCTTCCTCCTCTTCCTCCTCTCTCCTCCTCCTCCTCCTCCTCCTCCCTCCTCGCTGCGTCTCCACAGATTTTGAAGGTCATTACTCTCCGAACATTTAATCGCAGCAGGAAGCGAAGTTTCTGCTCGGCCTCCTGCGGACGAGGGTCGGCCCCAAAACTCTACTCCGTGGTTTCCTGGTTTTTAAAGACATGAAATAACGGCGGCTGTGAGGGGCGGGGCATCAACACCGCTCAGGGTGAGGGTTCGAATCCTGCTGCAGCTTCTTTTGTTATAAAAGACAAAGATAATAAGAGCAGAAAGGAAATTAAACGAATCTCTCAAACGGCCTGAATGAATTAAAAAGATAAAAAGTTAAATTAGGAGGCAGGAAATAAGAGAAAGAGAAAAAACTTTAAACTATTTCATTTATTTGATTTCACTCCTTCATGCTGAAGTCGTGGTGCGGGGTTAGATAATCCTCATCGCTGAATAATCTTATTTAATCTTATTTCTACTCTAATTTTTCTGGCCTGATTTCAACAAAAACATAAAAGACTGAAGAAGAAATTCACCTGAAAGGTTGATCGAGTTTTAAAACGTCTGAAACCATCATCAGACCTTCAGTAAATGTTTGTTTTCGTCTGTCTGGAAAAGTGAAGCTCCCTCATGTCGTCGGGGCGTTTTAGAAAAATATTTCAGGAGATTTAAAACCGTGAAGTTCGTGGATTTTTCTGACAAATGAGAGACAAGCTGGATCATTTACAGTCAGTCCTGAAAGTCGAGACCAGAGCCCATCTTTACATCCGAGTGGACAACCTAGAATATCGTACAAATGTGTCGTCAGAGGAGAGACTTTCGTTGATTCTCACACTTAGTGGCCATAAGAGGAACTGCAGCTTCCAAATATTAAACTCGACCACATCTGTGATTTATGAGGTGAAAACGTCGGGACTTTTAAATACATTTCTGCAATTTTAGGCTGTACTTTAGTTTTAGGAAGGAGTCTGCGGCTCTTTTCTGGTGAAAAACAACCTTAATGTTATAAATAAATGAAGGTTTTAAAGGCACAGAAGTGAAATAACCTCCAAACCTGAATGGGAATTGGTGAACATGTATCGGAATAAGTGAAGTTCCAGATCCTGTGGACCCCCCGGGTAACTGTAAATTCTGATGGAGACCTGTTTGTGGTTGGATAGATGACATGCTTTACAGGCAGATATTAGGAATATTTTCAGTCCTTTAAACAGATTAATGCCGTATACAAGTCTGTAAAACACATTATGATATATCCAAACATTTTAATGCATTTATGGAAGTTTACAGGATGGAGACATTAGATCCTCCTCCAGCAGGAGAGTAAAGTAAACCCCTCAGAAACAGTCAGACTGTCATTTTCATTAAGATATTTAATCAATTACAGACTTTATTTATCATGTGCCACATTAACAACTGATGTCAGGAGGTGATTCACGATTTATGGGAGGTCCTCAAATGAAACTAACGCTTTACGAATATTAATAAAGTTTTATTAAGACAAAAAATCTCTAAGAGTGTGTGAAATTTTATCTGTGTGTGTGTGTGTGTGTGTGTGTGTGTGTGTGTCGTCTAGGACCTGCTGTCCAATATAGCTTCTCCCAACACAACGCTACCATGGTTACGCAGGGATGTGAAACGAACAGCGAGACATCTGAGCGTGCTCGGTGCTGATCACCTGTCTCACACACTCACACACACACACGCCATAAAAAGTGATACATTTGCAAAATGTAAAGAAAGATCGGCATTTACACACACACACACACACACACACACACACACACACACACACACACACACACACACACACACACATAGGAGCTATAAATATCCATGTGCCACTCAAAGTGAATCAGTTGTCTATCCCCAAGCTGCTGTCCCACATAGCCACTCAACTGAGCTGTGTGTGTCAGAGTGTGTGTGTATTATGGGAATGTGTGTGTGTGTGTGTGTGTATTTTAAGAGTGTGTGTGAGAAAAGAGAGAGAGGGGGTGAGGAAAAGTGTTATTTTAAGTCGTGTGTTTGAACGGCGGAGCGAGGAGCAGATATCCAGGGAGAAGAGGAAACACAGTCTGTGTGCGTCAGAGGAAGAGCGAGTGTGCACATTTGTGGTGTGTAGTTCTGCGCGTGTGTGTGTTTGTGTGTCAAATATCCCTGCGAGTGATGCGGCGCCCCCCTTCAGCCAATCAGTAATGAGTAAACAAAAGCAGCGCCCCCCTCGGGCCAATCGCAGCAGCTTTAGGAGAGCCGGGAGACAGAAGCTGAGGAGGCTCTGAAGTTTCAGATAAACTCTGCTAAATAAGGGCAATTAAACCCAGCGCTGTGGCGCCCCCTCTGGCCAAAATGGAAAAACAGTATCGCTCCATTTCCTGGAGATTTGGAGCATCCTGGAAGTCGAGAGGCGACGCTGAGAATATCCTGCAGATAACGCGTCTCTGTCTCATATTAGGAGGTTTAAAAAGAGACTCTGTGTTTTAGAAAAAACAGATTTCTACATTTTGAGTAATTTTAGAAACTAAACTCGTCTGTGATAAAAAAAAAAAAAAAAATTGAACTTTTTCCAAAGTTTCTCTCTATCAGGATGGAGATGAGACCAAACACAGAGATAGGGAGCAGATGTAGAGCTGATCTGTCTGTTGTTTTTCTATGTACCTGTTTAATGCCTGATCTATGACTCCACATGCTTTACTAACACGAGAAGGAAACAAATAAATCTAACTCTGAAAACTTTGCTAGAAGGAAATGGATGAACAGAAGTGTGCAGTATGTGCAGCTTTTTGCCGAACTCATGAAAACAGTAGAAAACTGTCAATTTCAGCAACAGGAATACACCGTTCATTTTACAGCAACTTCCTGGAAACCCTAAAGCCAGTTCTACAGCAATATCTGTAGATAATGGGCAAAATGATGTTGGTTATTGTCGTCAATTTCGGTATCTGTAAATTTTTGGTTTATTGCCCAGCCGTAAATTCTTCCTCCCTGGTGTTCTCTTCGCCTCTGATTGGTCTAAAGCGTTGCTTCAGAACATCATTTTGGGTAACGAAAAAACCATTACCTCTCACACTTCCCATTTGTTGTTTTTAAAAAAGACAAATTTCTCATCTCTCCAAATTAGCATGCGGACATAAGACCAAAACCAGCTTTTATTTATCTATTTTTTTGACACCAAATGTACAGATATGGGCAAAATGGCGCCGGTTATTGTCGTGAATTTCGGTATCTGTAAATTTTCGATTTATCACCCAGCCCTAGACAGTTGTTTTTTTCACCGGTGGAGTTTCTAACAGTACAGTCTGTGTACCTCACCCATTTAAAAGTATAGTCCAGTTATAATTAAAGCTTCATTTAGCAATTTAACTCGACTACTGTCACATGTCCGCCTCCATTATGGTCATTTCCTGCTCAGCTGTCTCCCAATTATGAACCAAAACAATCGACAAAGCAGGTTAGCAGGCGGCTAACGGGCTGTATGTTGAATAATGATATCACGCCACATGTACATCATCTTGTTTGTGTCTGTGGTGGATTAAAAACACTTCAAACTCTCTAATAATAAGATGTACATGTTGACATCCCACCTCCTGAGCCCTAAAAGGACTTTAATACTGTAGGTAAATCAGGTTTCACTTTCAGCTTTGAAGCATTAATACGTCTTTATTGATAAAACGGATTTATCGCTCAGCTCTCGATCCTTTTAAATGATGAATGTGGAAAAACAGATAAAAGTGTTGACTGTGAGTGAGGAAGAGGAAACAGAGTATTCATCACTGTGAAGACGAGCGCTCAGCAGCAGCTGTAGGAGGCCGTTTAAAAGCAGATGGATGATGTGTTAAATATCTAAACACACACTCTCAGGAAGTCTGGAGGATTTATTTCATGCCTCTAAACTCTCTTTTTTGGCGCATTTTCACTCTGGAAACAAGTTACTGGAAAAACATCTGGACACACACACACACACACACACACACAGACACACACATCTGCAGCATGCCGACATGAGATGCTCACACTCGCAGAAAACTAGAGTCAGACTCACTGTGCGGCGTAAAAAGCTCTGAGCATCCTCAAATGTCATATTTCCCCCCTCATGGATACTGACCCACATTTCAGCCGGCGTGGAGATCTGCTGCTCATTTATATTCACCTCCGAGAAATCCTGAGCCAACCTGAGCCTGCTGCAGCTCCGAACAGGAGAAACCAGCGGAAAAGAAGAAGAAATCACTGATTCTTGTTATTTAGATCGACTAACAGTAAGATGCACTTTTGTCTTTCGTTTTAATAAAAGGGAACTTCTTTTCTTCTCACATTTTGTTGCAACAAACTTGTGTATTTGTGTATACTTGTAATTTTTCTATTTGTTTTACAGCTTAGAGCAGAGAGAGGAGCAGGAGGAGGCAGTTGTGTGTTTCCATGTGCGCCTGAAAAGCCTCTGGAAAAGCTTTTGTTTCCTGTTTCGGCCTCTTTATTCTGTTAAAAAATGTATTGCATTCGCCAAAAAAAAAAAACAGTATTTTTTTTCCTGTTATTCGGAATATTTTTTTCCTGTTTTTCAGAATAATTTTTTTCTGTTTCATGGGGCAAATTTTTTTCCTTATCCGTTTTCCTGAATATTTTTCCCCCAGTTTTTTGGATAAATTTTTTCCATTGTTCAGGGTAAATTTTTTTTTCCTTTTCTGTTTTTCGGATTTTTTCCCCCCCCTGTTTTTTGGACTATTTTTTTTTCTGTTTCACAGGGTTTTTTTTTCCTGTTCTTTCAGAGTATTTTTCCCATTTTTTTGACTAATTTTTTCTATTTCTCAGGGTAATTTTTTTCCTTTCCCCTGTTTTTCAAACTTTTTTTTTTCTTTTTCTCAGGGAAATTTTTTTTTGTTTGTTTTTCGTAAAAAAAAATGTCCAGTTTTTTGGGCTATTTTTTTCTGTTTCTTAGGGTAATTTGTTTTCTTTTTTGTTTTTTGAAAATTTCTTTCCCCTGTTTTTCAGACTAATTTTTTTGTTCCTTAGACTGTTTTTCTTTTTGTCCCAAATTTGCACCTGAAAAGCCAAGCGATGAAATAAAAACAACAAGAGAGACTATAATGATTATGCGCGCGTTAATGACGGAATAATTGCGGGGCTAGAAAGCGAGACATTATTCCAGATCATAATAAAACTTAAATTCAAAATTTGATGTTATAAAAGACGTTATATAAAGGCTTACAAGATTTGTTAAATCTGCAGCCTGTTTGGCTTTTAATTCAGCAGTATGACTTTTCAAAAAATTAGTTTTTTTCCCACTTATTGTGTTTTTCAAAGAATTTAAAATTTCCAGGTTTTCTACTTAAATATCTCGCAGCAGGACACAGGAAAGGAAAATAAAACACTTTAGGAAGAGTGTAAATGTAGGTACTGAGCTCAAACTGCCCTGTGTTTACATTTTCAGTATCAAATATTCACAATAACAGATATATATTTGACCGTCATCAAATACTCAGCAGGGTGTGATTTTTTTCTCAAATTTTTCCAGCAAAGTGAGCACTGCTTTGTCCACAGGGGGCGCCAAATACGACACATACCGAAAGTTACAAACGGGAGCTTTAAGGATGCAAAGTCCAGAGCAGTATCTGTCAGTTTAGACACTTTTAGAAGCCAAATCAGACAATAAGAAAGCCAGTCAGAGGATGAAACGTGTCCTCGGACCTGAAAGTTTCACACCTCTTCTTCAGGCTGTCTGTGTTGTAACAATAATCTGTGTTCTTCAGCAGGAGTCGCCTTCTTCTCAAACTGTCAGCGCTTTATTTTGGAAACAAACTGGTGAGATGTTCAGCCAGGATGAGAGGAGGCGTGATGGTGGCTTCACGGAGAGCGAAAGATTTGGTTGTTAAAGAGAGAGAGAGAGAGAAAGAGAGAGAGAGAGAGAGAGAGAGAGAGAGAAATTCATCCTCGTATTTGAGAAACTGTGTATTTATGAAACATCTTTGGATCTAAAACAGTTTCATATCTCTGTGACACCCACCTCTTTACAAACACACATCCCAGAAGCTAAATCCTTCTCTTTTACACACACACACACACACACACACACACACACACACACACACACACACACACACACACACACACACACACACACACACACACACACACACACACACACTGTAATCGTCTCTCTGAGCTGTGGTGCTAAACAGCTAAACACAGTCCGCTGATGTAAGATGCCATTAAACCATTAACAGGCTGCTGATTATCTGCGCTCATCTCCTCTCACTGAGACGCATTAAACCTGCAGTTCCTTTAACGCCCAGCAGGGGGCGACTGCACCGGATGAGTGGTAAACTATGCTCCAATTTCTGGTCATTTAAAGGTAATTGAGATATTTCAAAGCTCTAACTTGTTAGTTTTCATAAGCTCTGGTTCGAGTCCCCAGAGGTTTGAATGCTCTACCTGTGTGTGTGTGTTGGCTCCTCCCCCTACAGTCCAAAAACACACCTGTCGGGTTAATTGGTCTCTCTTAATTGCTCACAGGTTTGAGTGTAAGTGTTAATGGTTATCTGTCTCTACATGTCAGAGACTGGTGATCTGTCCTGGACGCAATATTTTATTTTCGTAGGATGGTAGGGGGAGGTCCCGCCTCCTCGCCTCTGATTGGCTAGAAGTGCTGGGCTCTGACTGGTTATTCTTTATGGCTGTGAAACGTCATCGTCAGGGTTAGAGTTATGAGATTCAGAATTGCAATAATGTTGTGGCTTGAGGCGATGGAGGCGGGACCTTCCCCTTCTATCCTACGGACACATTCTGGGCGTACCCTGCCTCTTGCCCCGCCCCTTGACAGCTGCGATAGGCTCCACCCCCCTCAAACAGGGAAAGCCATAAAAATAAAGCATGGGTTATATAATCATCTTATTTTGAAATTCTTAAGGTCATTTCCTATTAAGGCTCATCAAATGACCCCTCCTGTTATTGTAAAATCACATATAGTACCTTTAACAGACCTATCTGATTACATTTGCGTTAGCTTTCTTCCTTTCTCTGGATTCTGGATTATTCTGGTTCTATTGGACGTTCTGTACCTCCTCGCTGCGATCTTGTGGGTCAGTACGAGTCGTGTTATCTTCTCTTTTCATGAATTGTTGCAGTGTAAATATAACCTGATTACTTGATTGATTAAGAGGCTACTTCCTCTTCTTCTCCGGAGCCTTTGGGACTGAAAACCGATCGGTTATCTGATCCGACGTTTGAGGTTCTTTCTACCTCGAAACCACAAAACCACACGGCTGTCTGCAGCCTCAGAGTCTCGAAGCCATTTCTCCTGATCTGCAGCCACCGCTCTGAACGCCACCTCCCGATCTTTTGTCTGATTGAAATTCAAACTTTCTCCCAGATTTAGACCTTGAGTTGGGTTCCTGCGGCTTGTTTAATTGGAAACACATTTTGAGAGCACAGACAAAGACTGGACGGCCCACGCACAGCGACTCTCTCCACCAACACACACAGGCAGATTTTTCATCCTGACAGCCTGAAAAGAGGAACTGAGAGGTGATGCTAGACTGTGATTAAAGTTGTGCTGCTAGGCAACCTTACACAACCTGTTGGAACGCACATAACAGCGTGGACCTGTTACCAAACAGAAACACAGCAATCCAAGACTGATACCTGCCGTCTGATTCGTGTTTTAACCGACACTAAAACTGAGTCAGAGGTTAGATCTGATTACGTGAGGGGAAGGAAAGACTGTGATATATATACAGAGGAAAAAAGATGTTTATGTGTAAAACTGCTCATCAGGTATTCTAAAACTACACCTGTCTTACTTCCAGCTGAGCAGCGTCCTTCTTACAGAGTCGGTGATCCAAACACTGAAGAGGATTTTAACACCATGATTTTATCACGTCCTATTTCTGCTTTACTTTAATGAGGTTTCCGTCTTATTTGCTGCTTCATTCAGTTATTCCGTTGATTTGTGTTGAACTCTTTATTTCATTACTGCTTTTTGTTCCTGTTTCTGCCTGTTTATTCTGTGAAAACTTGTTTTGTATGGAAGCAAAGTGCATTCACCAAAAAAAAATTAAGACTTTTTTTTTCTGACTTTTTGAACTTTTTTTTTGTTTCCCCCTTGTTTTTCAGACTAATTGTTTTCTGTTTTTCAGGATAATTTTTTTTCTGTTTTTTCTGAATATTTTTGCTCAGTTTTTCAGACTAATTTCTTTCCATTTTTAAGAGTAATTTTTTATGTTTTTTTAAATATTTTCCCCTGTGTTTCAGACTAATTTTTTTCTGTTTGTCGAGGTAATTTTTTTTTTCTTTCCATTTTTTCTGAATATTTTTTCCTGAATTTTTCCCCGTTTTTCAGACTTTATTTTTTTTCTAAATTTTTTTTTTTCTGTTTTTTGGAATGTTTTCCCTACCGTTTTTCGGACTTTTTTTTTGTTTTTGTTTTTTTAGACTTTTGTAAATGCAATATGCTTCCGTAGTTTTGCCACTTTTATTCAATATTAAACCAATATTAAAGTTTTGATCTTAGCCTACTGCTTTTATCCTCATGGTGCTTTTTTTCAAATGTTTTAGTAAACGCATCGAAAGGAAGGAAATAAAAAATTTTCTGTTTTTGTGTTTATTCTTGCTCGTTTTTTTGTTTTAGTAAACTTTTAAAGATTGGTTATTTTCCATCAGGATTACATTCCAGTCAAAAAGTGGAGAAAAATGCATTTTTGTTCCTCTTTCATATGAAAATACAGACTGCATGATTTAAAAACCTCAGCTTTACTGCAGGGGGGTCTTTGTGCAGTCGTGAAAGAACAGATGTTAAAAGTCGACTGTTTAGATTTGAAGGAGCTTTAATGTTACATCAATTATAAAGAAGTATTTGCTTCATATGAATAAATACACAAATATCAATAAGGAGTGAGTGTGATGATCGGAAAAGCAGAACCAAAGTCCTCAGTGCTGCAGACCAGATAAATCACTCTCTAAAAATGATGACGCCTCTTTCACCTTTGGAGGGTTCTGAAGACCTTTAATTACTTCACCATGTTCCTAAATCTGAGGCTGCGTGAAACATGATTTTTAGGGTTTATCTGCACAAATGTCAGTCTGAATGAATGTTTGATAGAAATATCTGCTCCTCTCTGTGGGACTTTACTGAAGGTGGATGTCGTTGTCTTTCTATGAATTTCTATAAAGCTGGAGAGAGTGATGCTGCCCCTAGAGAGACAAGATCATGCAGCATCTAAAAAGTGAATTTATTCTAGTAAATCTGAGTCTATTTTAAACTTCCTGTTGGATTAAACATTATTGCAAACATGCTAAGTCAGATTCAGCTTTGTTAAAAAATTAAAGTATCCTCGCTCAGACGGGATCAGATGGAATGATGTTCAGTTTGTTCGTTTTGTTCCTGTCTCTTCATTTTTCACCCTCTGATAAAAGTTTTCACGCTGCAGCTTCTGCGCAAACCACGAAGCGTCTGTGCCGCAGCTGAAATGTGGCCAAATCACAGCTGGAGGTAAACGCTCCCTCCGAAAAAAAGAAAACCAAAAAGAAAAACCCAGAGTGAGATAAAAGGAGGGATGGTGGCGAGACGGGAAATGGGGCACATGTCTGGAGGAAGGAGGAGAGGCGAAGACGGGGTCTAATTTAAGAAATGAACTGTGAGGGTTTAACGGAGAAACAGGTGATGAAAACGAAAAGAGGAGGAAGAGAGAGAGACAGACGGAGGCCGCCGCCGCCGCCGCAGAGGAATGTGGGAAAACAAGTGCTAACGAATCATATGCACGAACACCGCCTGCTTTGTTCTGTCTTTGCACAAACACCCTGAATTCATTTCTACATGTTCACACACAGTTTCCTCACCTCTCTTTCCCTACATCCACCCACTTCTGCACCAAAAAAATCACCCCCACAAACTCGCCCGTCCTTCAAACACACACACTAACACACACACACACACACACACACACACACACTCATGAGCGGGCGAACGAAGCGAGAAGAGTCCTTATCGCTGCAGCAGCTGCCAGTCCATTCATATCGTTATAATGACTCTGAATGACACTAATGAGGAATACACACCGTGAATACGCCGGGATGAGACTCTGCGCAGCAAAAAGTAGTACGAGTGTTAAATAGGACAGGATGGGATGGTGCAAATGTGTGTGTTCACTGCTCTGAATAAGCACAATAAGTAATCAGAGGACAAGAGAGAGAGAGAGAGAGAGAGAGAGAGAGAGAGAGAGAGAGAGAGAGAGAGAGGAAACTCATTTTACATCAGAGGAAAAGGCCCCGAAAGACCTTATTGACTCCAGAACCGTGTTCAGTAATAAATCATTGACCTGTTCTGTGAGAGGCTCATTCAAGGCTACGATCAAAAGAGAATAAAAACAACAAGAGGGTTTGATTCCCCGGGAGCAGAAACATCCACCGAACGAGCGCAGAAGATGTTTTTCCTGCAGGGTGCGAAATCGTAGCATCATAAACACGAGGCTGTTAGCGCCGATCAGGTCCGATCTGACGGATGAAGAAACAAGAGTTTACGAATCTGCAGCTTTCTCGGTGGATGAATTTCTGGCACGTCAGAAAATCGGGTCAGCAGAAGGAGTACACAAGTCCAGATCGTCACCTGTCTGAGAGAACTCTGCGCCAGTCTTAGAGGACCAAAGGAAACGGTCTGAAAGGGGGCATAAAAAAGTAGCAGATCGGAATAAATGCCCAATCGGAATACAAAAGCGTCATGTAAACATGTCGATGGGGAGATTCAGATCCTATTCGGCTCAATCGGAAAGAAATTGTTTTCCGATCTAGAGGGATGGTTTATGCCGATCGTTATTCCGAAACCCACCCATGTAAACACTTATTCTGATCGTGACTTTCTAGCCCGACTCGATCTTCACTCTTTATTTTTGAAGCCAGTTCAGGAGGTTTCCTTATTAACACTCACCACCAAACATCGGACGTCGAAGAGACGTGCACATCAAGTCAGTATTGGGTCGGTCCGTCAAAGACCACATCTAGTTGTTAGTGCGACATGCAAAATAGGTTAGAAATTTTGACGTCCAAATTAGACCTTTTTTAGACGTCGCTCTGATGTTTAGAATTTGGACGTCATCTGAAGATCAAATCTAGACATCGGCATAACCTGCAAAATGGATCCAAGATTTAGACGTCATTATTGGACGTCATTAAGACGTTGAAATGACGTCCACATTTGTAACTCATCACCAAAAAAAATACGTTGAATAGATGTCATTTCGATGTCACAGTGGGTCTGTCATAAAACACAACCGTAGATGTCGTGCCTGCTCCTCTGATAACATAATAAGGTACACATACAGCGTTATGATGTCACATCTGCACGCACAGCACAACCTTTGACAGAACAGTAAAATATGTACGCTTGGGTGCCATCTAGTGACAACATTTAAAGGGATATTCTGGCTTAAGATTAATTCAGGGTCAAACACTCCGTAACACCGAGTTAGACCCCCCCTCCAGAGATGAATGTTGTCGACCGCTTGCTTCTCTAGTTATACCAACTTTAGTAACGACCGCAGGATAGAAATACAGAGAGCCACGCCCCCAACCAAAACGCCACTCTATAGCCACAAATAATGCTCAGAACAGCACCTAACTTCATCAACAGGACATATAGGGTCACAGACATAGTACTAGACACCAAACGTCTTTTTAACTTTGACTCATTTCTTTAGCAAAGAGACTAAACACAACTCACCTACTCTCTTCCAGCAGACGCTTGTTTGTTCTTTAAGGCAGTGTCTCTTTGCATGTCTGCAAAGTTTCTTTTGCGTAATGAACCTTTATGCTTTCTAACTATCTAACGCATGTTCCCTCTAAAGATCTGCACCATCAGCTCCAGCCTTGAGCTACCTTACTGTACGACACACCCCTTAGTGCTAATACGGGTGCAGGTTCACGGTTCTATGGGCGGATGATACTTTCAAGATTTCCCTGATGTCTGCTTGAATTAGTGTGCGTGCAAACAGCCTGATATCTACACACACACACGCACACACACACACGCACAGACTGTAACCACCTGAAGCTGACCCGACCACAGCTGCTCCCAACAGGCGGAAAGAGCGTCTCCGACCGAGCTCCGAGCTCAGCAGCTGGAGTCGGCCTCCATTCACAGCAGATACAATAACCGTGAATAAGAAATACGTCGCAGCTTCAACAGAAGAGTCCTCCGCTCTTCTTCTGTCGTCTGAAGGGAGAAGCGATCCGGGCAGAGGGATCATGGTGGCTAAAGGGGCGTTTTTGCAGGATGCATCATGTGAACACAAATGAACACTTTAGCTTGTAGATAATGTCAGTTTGAAAAGTTCTGCTCTGCACGCCGCCATCATTAGCTGGTCGCTCTCTCTGTGTTTACGAGGAGTTCACCTGGATGAGAGCTACCCACAAAACCCAGGGGGGACGGGGAGAAACCTACGAGCGATGAAAAGGATGATGCAAACGTAGAGAAAGAACACAAAGCGGATGAATGAAGACGGCGGGAATTAAAGCCTGAGACGGAGAAACGAATCGGAGGATGTCGTCTTCTTCTTCTTCTTCTTCTGCTGCTGTGACTTCCTGTGTTCGTTTCTGGCCGCGTTCCCGGGAAACAAACCGTGGTCAAACGAAGGTAATTAAAAAGGAAAACTTGTAAAGAGCGAGACACGCCCGCTCTCTGAACACACACACACACACGCACACACACACACACACACACTTAACACAACCTCCTCATCCGTCATACACACACTCTCTCAGCTGCAACATGTCTCTTTCCTGCTCGCGCACACACACACTTCATTGATTTTCATTGTTTCATCCATCCATCTTTCTGACAGTCACTCCTCCCTTCCTATGACTCAACTCCCCGACGTGTGTGTGTGTGTGTGTGTGTGTGTGTGTGTAGATTTCATTTGTATATCCGAGGCGTCCCGTTTGTTCAGATTTCTCTCTGAACAGCAGAAGTGGGTTGAGTGTCTTTGTGCTGACTGACAGGTTGATGGGCGGTTGTTTCGTGTTTGAGGAGCGCCCGCTCTTCGCCGAAGCTCCACGTGAATCTGAATAAACGCGTTTAATGATGCTGCGGGCTCAGAGGCGAGGACGTGACGGTTCGGGGTTTAAAGAGTCGATACCGAAAACGAAGACTACCGAAGATTAAACTGTGATCAATTCACGTGAAGTGAAGAAATAAGGAAAGAAGAAACTCGATCAATCGGTTTGTTTACTCAAAAAGTCGACTGGAACTAGACCTTGAGCTGGTTCAGGTCTGGACCATCACGTCCCCAGGCTTTTCTGGGAGTCCCTGAGCTCCATCACGCTCATACGAGTTGTCTCTCTAAAGACAGACACATAGACATATAAGCAGTAGATTGTGTCCTTCCAGAGGAGGAAATCTACTTCTAGACTTCTAGAATCAGCATCTCCTCATCCATGGTGTCATCGGGGTGAAATGACGTCTAAAAACCTTTCACTTGTTCGTCTCCGCCCGTTTGCATGGTGTGAAATACGATCCTCCTGAAACACGGAGTGTTTTATTTTGAAAAGAAGCCGGATGTTTTATTTTGTGTCTGTGCCCGACTTCCTTTCCAGCACGGGTTAATCTGTGCTGAATTTATCCGCCATGCTCCGGCGTCCGGAAACTATCAGTTTGGAGATGTTCCTGCAGCTGTTTTCCAGCCTTAATGAACTTTTTCATTCTGTTTTGTTCTGACTGTTCCAACTTTTTGCAGACTTTACACAGGTATCAAACTTAATTTAGCTTTTTTGTTCATTTTCTACATTTCATTTGTTGTCTTTGCGCTAATTTTTGACACCAAATATACCGATACGGACAAAATGATGTCGATTATTGACGTAAATTTCGGTATCGGTAAATTTTCGGTTTATCGCCCAGTCCTAAGTTCTTCCTCTCTGGTGTTCTCCTCGCCTCTGATTGGTCAGAAGTCTAAAGCGCTGCTTCAGATCATCATCTGTGGCTTATTTTCACACTCAGATTACAACAAAAACACGAACTCTCACACTTCCTGTTTGTTTTATTTCTAAAAAAGACGAATTTCTCCTCCTTCAGCTCCTCTCTCTCTCCACACCTGTCTGCAGAGATAATCCATCAGTCCGAACTCGCTCACCTTTAGTTTCAGGTTTTAAATGGATTTTATCGGAGTGTGTGTGTGTTTCCGTTTTGTCCAGAGAGGTTTTCTCTTATTAAATATTAACGTTTACTCAGACGGAAATATTGAAACGATTTACAGAGTTTAACACCATCCAACACAACAGATGCATTTGTACCACAGCTGCTGTTTCTTCAGGGGGGAAGGAGTGTGTGTGTGTGTAAGTGTGTGTGTGTGTGTGTGTGTGTGAGAGTGTGTAAGTGTGTGTGTGTGTGTGTACTGCTGACTGTTGAGTATTTGCTGCCAGGAGTCACATCCTCGCTGAAAATGTCACAGTTTGACCGCCGCACACTCACACACAGTTCATATTAATAGTAAAGGCTCATACTGTATATATTTCTCTCTCTTTCTTTCTGTTCTTTTCCTCCCTCTTTCCCTCCCCTCCCTTTTCCCTCCTTTTTCCTCCCCTCTTCCTCTTCTTTATGTCACTCTGTGAACCACGCACACTCCTCTTCCTCCTCGCCGTCTTTTTTATTCATCTTCCTGTTTGATCTCCTGCTTTGTATTCTGGATGAATCTCTTTCCCGATCTCTCCCTCCCTTCCTCTCCGTCTGTCTCTCTCTTTCTCTTTCTCTCTTTGCCTTGTTGGTGTCTTATTCTTCCCCTCCATCATCCTCTCCCTCTCTCTTCCTCTCATCAGCGAGCAGACGGCCGGTTTGATGAGGGAGATGTAAATGTCAGGTCGTGTTTCTGCAGAGGAAGATGAGCTTCAGAGCGAACATGACAATACTGGCTTTAATAAAGCCCCGGGTCAGAATCAAAGGGGTTTCCCAGGGAGGTTCGCAGGGCCTCCAAGCTTAGAGTCCCAGCGCTCACATCGTTACATCATCATTTTAAGTTTGAGGAAACGGTGCGAGGAAACTTTGAGAGTGGCGAGGAATCAAATCTGGACCTTGGAGAACCAAAATTCATGGTTTAGGACGAACATGTTTCCTTCTGCTGATTTAAGAAGTGAGAGAAAAGTTATCTTGAGTGCGCAAGATAAAAAAGGGTGCAAAAAATTGGCTTGCACAAGATAATCAACATGTGCACATGCAAGATTATCTTATTTGCACATTAGTATCTTGTGCATTTAAGGAATCTTGCATGTATACCGTATTTTTTGGCCGATATGGCGCACCGTGAATTAACGTGTCTATCTTCACACATAAGTCGCACCGGATTGTAAGGCGCATTAAGCACTGGCGCATTAATCGGTTTATTGTTGCTAGTGCGTACCCTGGGCCTAGTGTGACTAGGGTTGCAAATGGGCGGAAAATTTCCAGTGAATTTCCATGGGAAGTTAAACTGGGGAATTTTCAGAAATATTCCAAGTTGGAAACTTTCATGAGAATTTACTGGAATTATTGGGAATTTATAAGAACTAACTGGAAATTGGAGGTAATTTAAACAATCTGTATCATACCCAAACCTAAATGTAAATATTTTTCCTTCAAAAATAGCTTGTGTGAAATTCTTCCACACATCAGATGGTGAATGTGGCATTTTTCTTTGGAGTAAAATAAAATAATAAAACAAAATAACAAAAAAGTTTGTAAAAACACTAATGCAATATCATGAACAGAAATATAGTTGGCTAAATAACGTTCAAAAATATTTGACAAATGATGTATCTCTGTTGAGGGCCAACCTTCAATTTTGTACATTTCAGATTTATTCCCTTTAATTCCCATGGAAAGTTTCAAAGTTTGAAAATTCCCAGAATTTTTCAACCCTAGTAGTGAAACAGCGTACCGTAATGCTTCGAATATCCACTAAGTGCGCCTTATAGTCCGAAAAATACGGTAAATTGTTTTTTGTACATTAGACAATCATAAATGTGAATCAAAAAACTCATGGGTTAAAGGTGGTCAAATGGTGGCCACTCATTCCATGGGGAGGGGGCCACCCCTAACGACCTCTGTGGACACACCCCTGGACTGTGCTCACTTCACTATTTCTTCGCATTTTATCTCCATTCACTAAATAAATTATTTTATATTTTGATCTTTTTTCGTTCGACTTTAATTTTAGTTTCAGAACAACCTGGAGTTTTAATTTCCTTAGGGATTAATAAAAGTCTGAATATTCAAAGTGCGTCTCCCACTGTCTTTGTAATTAATTTCTTCATCAGATTTCAGAAATTGTTTTATTTTGATTTATTTAAAAGAGAAAAAGGCTCGGTTCTGTCGGCGTGTTTTCGTCTGAAGAATCACTTTTGGTGGTTTAGATGTTTTTTTGGTAAAAATCAGTCACTTTAAGGACTTTCTTTCTTATGTTTCGTTCAGAGCTGATCAGTATCTCCGCACTGAAGTCCTGAAGGCGTTTTTTTAAAGACCTGTTTCCTGATTAGTCAGAGCGTTTCTGCACAGCGGCGTCTGCGTTAATATTTCTGCTGATCAACACGAAGCTGTTCGACATCTCTTTAATTGTCTTCCTCTCGGGCGCTGACCCAGAGTTACTCATCTTCCTTCGCGGAGGCGCTCTGAGGACTTGAACCCGTGACCCTGACCTTTGGGCTGCTGCCGCCCTCAGCTGCGGTCTGCAGGCTCAGGCTGCCCGCCGCTCTGTTATCTCTGCTGCGAGCGAACAGAAGAAAGAGAGGAAACGGGAACGCTGTGACCCGCGGCGCACACACACCAAAGTCTTACTGGCTCGGATCAGTCTGCGGGCACTTACTCACAACTGCAAGGGATTATGGGAAATAAGGACATTTTATTGTTTCTGCACCAATCATCTCTTTATCTGTCCGCCTTTCTCACCCTCCTGTCCTCGCTCTGATTTTTCTCTTTGTCTCGTAAACCCTCTCATCCTCCATCTTTCTTACCATCACTCCATCCTTTTACTCTCCTCCATTCTTCACTCCTTCTTATTCTTCCTCTTCTCCCCTCAATCCTTTACTCCCTCCCTTTCCTCCCCTCCTATCATCTATCCTTCACTCCCTCGTTTTTCCTCCTCTCCCCTCCTCCATCCTTCAATCACTCCTTTCTCTTCCCCTCTCTCCTCCATCCTTCACTCCCTCCCCCCCTTCTCCTCTCCTCTGTCCTGTCCTTCACTCCCTCCTTTTCCTCCCCGTCCTCTCATCCGTACTTTTATTCCTCCCCTTTTCCCTTCCTATCATCCATCCTTTATTCCCTCCTTTTTCCTCTCCTCCTCCCCTTCATCCCTCACTCCCTCCTTTTTCTCTCCCTTCTCTCCTCCATCCTCCACACTCTCCATTTCCTCCTCTCCTCCATCCTTCACTCCCTCCTGTTCCTCCTCTCCTCCATCCTCCACACTCTCCATTTCCTCCTCTCCTCCATCCTTCGCCCCCTCCTGTTCCTCCTCTCCTCTCCTCCATCCTTCACTCCCTTCTCTTTCCACCTCTCCTCTCCTCCATCCTTCACTCCCTTCTCTTTCCTCCTCTCCTCTCCTCCATCCTTCGCCCCCTCCTGTTCCTCCTCTCCTCTCCTCCATCCTTCGCCCCCTCCTGTTCCTCCTCTCCTCTCCTCCATCCTTCGCCCCCTCCTGTTCCTCCTCTCCTCTCCTCCATCCTTCACTCCCTCCTTGTTCCTCCTCTCCTCTCCTCCATCCTTCACTCCCTCCTGTTCCTCCTCTCCTCTATCCTTCACTCCCTCCTGTTCCTCCTCTCCTCTCCTCCATCCTTCGCTCCCTCCTGTTCCTCCTCTCCTCTCCTCCATCCTTCGCTCCCTCCTGTTCCTCCTCTCCTCTCCTCCATCCTTCGCTCCCTCCTGTTCCTCCTCTCCTCCATCCTTCGCTCCCTCCTGTTCCTCCTCTCCTCTCCTCCATCCTTCACTCCCTCCTGTTCCTCCTCTCCTCTCCTCCATCCTTCACTCCCTCCTGTTCCTCCTCTCCTCTCCTCCATCCTTCGCTCCCTCCTGTTCCTCCTCTCCTCTCCTCTCCTCCATCCTTCACTCCCTCCTGTTCCTCCTCTCCTCTCCTCCATCCTTCGCTCCCTCCTGTTCCTCCTCTCCTCCATCCTTCCTTCGCTCCCTCCTGTTCCTCCTCTCCTCTCCTCCATCCTTCACTCCCTCCTGTTCCTCCTCTCCTCCATCCTTCACTCCGTCCTGTTCCTCCTCTCCTCTCCTCCATCCTTCGCTCCCTCCTGTTCCTCCTCTCCTCCATCCTTCGCTCCCTCCTGTTCCTCCTCTCCTCTCCATCCTTCGCTCCCTCCTGTTCCTCCTCTCCTCCATCCTTCGCTCCCTCCTGTTCCTCCTCTCCTCCATCCTTCGCTCCCTCCTGTTCCTCCTCTCCTCCCCTCCATCCTTCGCTCCCTCCTGTTCATCCTCTCCTCCATCCTTCACTCCCTTCTCTTTCCTCCTCTCCTCTCCTCCATCCTTCACTCCCTTCTCTTTCCTCCTCTCCTTTCCTCCATCCTTCACTCCCTTCTCTTTCCTCCTCTCCTCTCCTCCATCCTTCACTCCCTTCTCTTTCCTCCTCTCCTCTCCTCCATCCTTCACTCCCTATCTTAATTATTTCCCTCTCCTCTCCGTCTCCCCTCCTCTCCTCCCTCCATCCGTCTCCCTCTCTTCCCCGTCCTCGCCCGCCCGCTCGCTCGCTCGCCGTCATCCCTGGCTTCCTATCTTAATTGCTCTGCCCACATGAGGACTCCCTGCCGGCTGTATTGTCAGCAGCAGTTTTATTGTACGGAGCGCGTATAAGAAGAGAACAGAAGCAGGAGAAGGAGAGAGAGAAAATTGTGGAGAGCTTTGTTTCGTTTTCAGCGTGCCCTCCCAGCGGGGTTCAGCTCCACCAACAGCTTCTGCAGCGAGGAGAGAAAAAGAACTTTGCTTACCGCCGCCTGTTTTGGAGGATCTGGCTTAAAAGGAAGTGACACATCTGACTCATGAAAGCAGCAGGTGTTACATGTGGGTGACATTTGGTGACGCTTTGATTAGGAAGCAGAGAGTGGAATCAAACTTTAAGACAAAAGGGTGACGGCGAACGAAAATGTGCGTGTTTTTAAGATCAAACGAAAATTCATGAGCCAAAGAAGTAATTTTAACAACAGATTTATGTTTCTGTCTGCAGAATATCTCACAAATATCTTCCAGGAGAGGGATGCTTTGTTTGTTTTATTTTCAGAGAATTGTCTAATTCTTACTAAAGTTGGTATAACTAGAGAAGCAAGTGGTCGGCAACATTCATCTCTGGAGGGGGAGTCTAACTCAGTGTTACGGTGTGTTTGATTTTACGCCGGAATATCCCTTTAAAGCTCCTGTGTGGAGTTTTTTGATGTTCATTAAATAAACTTAAATTCACACTGATGCCTTTTTATGACATATAGAAGCAACCAAGACTATCAGCAACTAAACGGATGATAAACAGTATATGAGTTTTTATGTCTGAAACTAGAGCAACGGGGGTAGGTGTCAAAAGAGATTGACTCACCCTAAAAGTTCCCTACAGGAGCTTTAAATGTTTTAAAAAATGTGTTTTTAAGAAGCAAAAGTTAAATAAAAATGTCAAATCTGCTCTCTTTATTAAGGAAAGGAAATATTTGTTAAGTGTACAACATTTATTTTCTCCATTTCTGCAGCAGAATACCACAAAGTTAACCATACTGATGCAAATTTTGCTTTAATTAGCTGATTTTAATACCAGGTTGGCCTTAAGTTGTAAACTTCTATTTCTCTCTGCAGAGCACGACCATGACTGCGCTTAATTTAGACGTTTGCACGAGTTTTGACAAAGATGCATGATCCTGCAAACAGAAGAGAAGTGAGTGAGACCCTGAAGTTACTCTGGTGGTTGAAAAATAAACTGACGCGATATTTTAACACACTACTGGACTGAAAATGAAAAGCAAAGACGTACTTGAACTTGGATATATGTGCAGCCTCCTTCTGCAGAACTGTGTCAGTGAGTTTTTGCACCTGTCTGTTCTCCTGTTATTTCAGATTAAAGTGCCTCTAATTCATCAGCATCAGTTCATTAGTTAGCACTAAACTTGCACAGACATCTTTTAAGGCGTTGACTCTCCAGGTTTGTCTTTTGTGTTATTTGTATTTGTATGTTTTCATCTGTTCTTACGCCTCAATATTCTGTTTGTCTCTTATTCGATTTTCTGCCTCACTCTCCTCTTAAAATCACATCAGCTGTATTTCACATTTTCTTTATTTTTGCCTTGTTTTCGTTGATTTCTTGCAGTGTGTGATTCATTGAGCACCTGTTTGTCTTATAATTGGATTTGGGTCGTTGTGTGTGTGTGTGTGTGTGTGTTTGCGGTTGTGTATTTATGAGACTCTCAGAGTTACAGGTCAGCAGGTTTACATTAACCTGAGAGTGTGAGCGTCGGTCTGAGCTCCCTGCGGGTCACTGAACATATGCATCCAGGTGTGTGTAAATGAAATTGACTTTTTTTTGGACTGACCGCTGCATGTAAACCACACATAAACACACACGCACATGCACACGCACACACTCCTGTTCAAACTTGTTTCAGAGCGAGGGCGCCTGCAGACAAGAGAAAAAAAAACAAGAGGAGACACGACAAAAACACGACCAAAACAAATCAGAGAAAAAAAAAGAGCAGATATGAAATATTGATGTAACAGAGACGAAGAGGAGGAGGAGGAGGAGGAGGAGGAGAGGTGAGAAGAGCGAGGAGCTCAAACCTCTTTTTTCACCGTGTTTGTTGTCCCTGAAGAGAAGACAGGGAATAAAAAAAAGGGCAAAAGAAGAAAAACAGACTTAAAGATGGTGTTAATAATCAGAGTAGATCATTTAAAAGGGACAGATCAGGTTTCATAGGTGGGGGTCTTTGCTGCTGCTCTCCCTGCCTTCGCTTTAGCATTAGCATTTAGCTTTATTTATAACTGACTCAATCAAAAGTGTTCATGTTTTGGAGAAGATAATCTTGTTATAGTTGCACTACATAAACAAAATATATTTAAAGGGAAAGTTCAGGTTTTATAGGCGGGGGTCTTTGATACTACTCTCCCTGCTGTCACTTTAGCATTAGCATTTAGCTTTATTTATAACTGACTCAATCAAAAGTGTTCATGTTTTGGAGAACATAATCTTGTTATAGTTGCACTACATAAACAAAATTTCAGCGTTTTTGTGTTTTTGAAAAGCGCTTTACAAATAAAATGTATTATTATTATTAAAATTTATTTAAAGGGAAAGTTCAGGTTTTATAGGTGGAAGGTCTTTGCTACTACTCTCCCTGCTGTCACTTTAGCATTAGCATTTAGCATTATTTATAACTTACTCTAACAGAAGTGTTCCTGTTTTGGAGAACATAATCTTAACATGGTTAAATTAGGCAAACAAGAGTTTATTTAGTGGGATAATTCAGGTTTTATAGTCAGGGGGTCTTTGCTGCTGCTCTTCCTGCCTTCGCTTTAGCATAGTTAATATGTTATCGTTGCTTTACACCTAAACCTGTACAGGCGTAAAGACGGCGTCATGATTTGTCAGGTTTGAAGTGAGAAAGTCGAACCTCATATCCATTTTTCTTTAAATCCTCAGAGAGACGAAGAGACAGAGATGAATATGCATCAGAGGTTCAGCTCTCACTTTAAGGACCCTCGTCTTTCCTGCAGACTCATTACTCTTTTGCCTTTTCTCCCTGTTTTCTTTCCGCAGTAATGAAACACTTTTTTAATCGAACTTTTCCTCACAAAAACATCAAACGTCCAGGTCCCTGCCTTTTGTTTCTCATCCTTTACTTCCTCTTTCAAGTTCTTTAAATTGTTTCATTCATGATTAGGAGCTTTTTTCTCTTTCTATACCCCTCCTCCTCTCACTTACTTCTCAAACTTCTCACAGACGCACACTCACAGATGTTTCCTCCAGAGGACATCTCGGCACAAGCATTTTGTCAGTCAATACCCGACATCTCTCCCTTTCTCTTTCCCTCGCTCTCAAAACTCCGGGGAACAAAGAGAGAAGTGGAGAGGGAGGGTGAGGTGAAAGATAGCGAGAGAGAGAGGGAAAATGTCAGATTTGATGTTATTGTCTGCATGTCAGGATGTCCAATCTGCAGCCTCTTTGATTGACAGTAGAGGAGGGCTGGACTCGTCCTTTATGAGTCTAAACAACAGAGACGGGAAGCAGAAAATCTCAGCCCACACTGAGGCTGCGTGACGCTCTAAAAATGTTATTATTAGTACAGAAACGTCTTAAAATGCGCTTAAATCTGCTGCACCAACAGGAAAACACTATATTGTCAGCATAATATGTTCAACTCATGAGGTGGCGCATTAATTAACGGAGGTAAACACAACAAAGACGTATGATTTAGTCAACTCTTCATGCACTTTTTATAAAAAAGGGAAATATGAAGAGAAACCCTCTCAAAACTTCACGTAACCTCCCTTTTTTTTCGCTCCGCGCAGCAGAGGAAATGCTGCTGAGTGCAGTGAGAGATGAGGCCTGATAAATCAAAGAGGCGAGCGCCGAGCAGACGTGAGTGTAAATCACCGTCACAAACAGGAAAACACACAGCTTACATGACTGCGGGCTGAAATATCTGCACCTGTTTACATACGACACGCTGACTTTACCACCTCCTCCTCCTCCTCCTCCTCCTCCTCCTCCTCCTCCTATTATTGTGGTGTTTAATTTATGCTTCGAAGCTGCTGCCTGCATTTCTGGTTTCACATCCACTCAGATAGGCCTGAAAAAAGAATAACAAAGCAGAAAGTCCATCCTAGTCTATAGAATATGGATAACTCTGATACATGAGGCAATAATAATTAACACAAATGGGAGCTGCCTGGAATTAAAACTTAAAAACCTCCATTGATACTCGTCTACAGCAGGATAACAACCCTGATTCATGTCCTACGGCGAGTCCTTGAGGGAAATTAAACTCTCTTTCCTTAAATCTTTTAGAGTCCTGCAAAATCAGACCACAAATCTACACATTCGTCTGGTTATCTGGTGAAGAATAATCTCAGGACTGAACCCTGGAGTCAGTATCTAAAACCCGAAGAGTCCAGCTCGCCGCGTTACATCAGACCCCTCGTATTTTATTTGAGGAACATGAGCGAGTGCCGTTTAATCGACGGTTCGAGGTTCTGCAGGTTAACAGGCTGCAGGGCGCCGTTAGATTTCTGTATATTACACTGTTACACAAAGAAGGACACAGCAGGCTGAGAGTCTTACGCAACTTATCAGCTGGTGTAGACGCCTTTCACAGGACATGGTACCAATAACACAAGAGATCATTTGCTTTATTGTCCGGACATCTTCTCACGAAAATAAAAACAGTTCATTAACTATTTACTCTCTGTATGATTCATGTTAATAACTATTATTGTCTATTTTACATAGAGCTGCAAAGGAGGGACATCTGCTCCCAAGAATGTCACATTTTCTTGTTTTTACTGTGTTTAGCGTATTATTTTTTCATTGAATTACCGGGTGAAATCGGCCCTTTAGAGAGAAGTACTGTGATTGTTTTGAAACTTTATACTTTCCAAGTTTTTCTATCAAACAAAACAAAATCACTGAAAACGATGTAGTGCATATGCCAAGTCAGTCAGTGGCGCTGTAACGCTGCACAGGAAATGCACAAAAGACAGAAGAAGAGTACAGAGCATGTGTATAAAGGTAGTTTTGGCCGGACAATGAATGAAATGGTCGTCGTTTACAGATTTATTCACTCTCTGTCCTGTTTCGAAAAATTACCGTTTACAGTCACCTGAAACGCCGTTTCAATGTGGATGAAACGCCAATACGACAAAAAAACTCAAGCCTTTACTCCTGAATTAGTTTCCGTGGTGACGGGTTGATACCGCCGTCAGACAGACTTTGGGGCGGGGAGTGGTTTGCTGTTCGTCCGAAACTGCGAAGTCGTACCAATTCAACGCAACTGACTCGCTCTTGTCCTATTTAACCACGAAATTATCGCCTTCTTTTGCAAACGCCATGTTTGTTTACACTGGTGTGTGTGGGAACTGGGGAGTGCTCCGGCAGAAAGGGGGAGGAGCCTACGGTGGCCTGGAGGCACGAGACATGATAGAGAGGAAAATTATTTGATTTTAATTTTTTTAACATCGTCTTAATCAAATAATCCAGTGTTTCGTGCAGCCTTATCTTTCATTTAAGCCCCGCCTCCTTCTGAGCCAACTTCCCTCCAATAAAACCGCTTTCCAGAAGCCTCTTCCACTGTTGCCAGGCTACAAATCAGCTAACAGCTCAGTTCACAAATTATGAAATATGGCCTGACGCTTTGGACCCTGAATCAGAAACAACAAGAAAACTTGCAGAAACAACGAGCAGAGCATTTGAGTTCTGCAAAGTTTGAAACTCTAATGAAGACCAGAGCTAAAGGGGGAGTGAGTGAGTCCAGATGGAGACATCAGAGTCGCTCTGTTCCCGCAGGCTGTAGAAACAGGAAACCGCTTCATTCAGGTTCGTAAGAATCTTGAAAAATAAAAACGTAATTCCCCCGTCGGCCTTGAACGTTACCATCTATTGTGTTGAACTGCATCAGATTCGGCGAGGAAGATGTAGTCGTAGTAAGTCTTTATGACGTGAAGGCATCAGCAGCGAGTCTCCAGAGTGAAGCGGGCTGAGAAACAAAGAGGTGTAGCCGGAGGCAGAAAATCCAGAATTAAAAATAAATGGCAGGTTCATGGAAGTTCCCCTTCTCGTCGACTCTCTTTACTAAAAACAAGAAAAGACAGAGAAAAAAAAAACACTTTTTCGGAGAGAGGAACACAGGGGAGTCTTTTGACTTCCATGTTTCAGTTGCATAGCAACAGTGTTCTCACATGTTTAATCACTTGTAAGGCGAATGTATTATGTACTTGACTTCCCCTGTCAAAAGGAAACTTCAGACGACTGTTTGAAGGAGAGAAATCTCCCCAGAAGTTAAAATATTTAATGATTTACATCTTGAATTTAAATATGATGTTCTGTGGTTTAAGAGTTCAGGAGGTCTGGAGATTTACCCCACAGAGGATCCACTAGGAACGGGTTTATTCTCAAACAGACTTCAGGTGTTTTGGCGTCAGACAAACCAGGTTTCCCTCAAAAACACATCTCCTCATGGAAGCCCAGACTTTACTCTCCCAGACCACTTTATCCAGGTCTTCACGAGGGACCCTGAGGCATTCCCAAGCCAACTGAGAGACATCGTGAGGACCCAGCATGTCCTGGGTCTTCGCTGTGGTCTCCTGCTGTTGAGACGGGTCCTGGACAACTCACCAGTGAGGCGTCTTAAGGAAATCCTGATACGATGCCCAAAAACCATCTCATCTAACTCTACTCTGAACCCCTCCCAGATGACCGAGCTTCGATGTGAGGAAACTCATTTCGGCCGCTCGTACCTGCGATCCTTTAGGTCACTACCCACAACTCATGACCTCAGGTGAAGGTGGGAACGCAGATCGACGGGTATCAAACAAGACCCTAAAATACTTGAACTCCTCAGTTTTGGGCAGGATTTCATCCCAGGCTCTCTGAAGGAAAACTCCCCTTTTCTCCAGGATTTTTTTTTATCCAATTAAACTTGGAATAAAACCGCCGCTGTTTTACTTACACTCAATTTCCACCGCATCTGGAACGGCTACGAAAAGACTGTATCCGCCAATCGTAGCTCATCGTAACCATTCAAGTTAACGTGTCAATTTCTGTGGTTTCTTGTGAGTTCTTGCGATTCCTGCTGTTCCTAATCTGCCACGAAATTCGCCTACCAAATGGTTCCATTAGGAATTGGCGTACGGTGAAAATCACAGCCGTTCCGGATCGGAGCTGTTCTGGATGTGGTGGAAATTCCGGGTTAGACGCTGTCGCTCTTCTGCTGATCGTCTCCTTTGTTTTTGTTGATCATAAAAAGTCCCAACAGGAGCTTTAATAACAAAAACATGAAGATTTGAATATTATTTAAACAAAGATCCATCTTTTCATCATCCATCTTTACGTACGTCACTGATCAGGACAATCAAACAAAAGAAAAATCAAAACTCCATAGAAATAGTGAGTCTGAAATCCCGAGAAGAACTCTGAATTTCCTGCAGACCCTCAAACGGCCCCTGTGTCTTTAAAAGTGAGTGAGGGGTTTCCTTCTTCTCATAACACACACACACAGCTCCGTGCGCACACACACACACACACACACACACAAAGGAAAATCCAGAGAGACAGATCAGAGCTCGTGTGAGTTCAGAGAGCTCAGAGAGAGAAAACCAGAATCCAGAGTGATCCGACTCTTCCTCTGGGCCTCAAACACAAAGTTCACACAGTCGAGGAGAACGTGTCTGAATGTGTTTGTATGAACCAAAGGAAGAGGGACCCAAAGAGTGTGTGTGTGTGTGTGTGAGTGTGTGTGTACACCTGCAGGGTACACGCTAATAACATGCACCACTGGAGCGCACACAGAGATAAACTAACAAACTCTCTGCAAGCCTGAGTCCATGTTCTGTCCCAGATTACTCTATTTCTTATAAATCTACATCTATAAATCTATCTCTACATCTGTCTGCCTGTCTTCATCCATCCCTCCATCTTTGCATCCATCAATCTGCTGCTTTCTGCAGCTTATCTGCACCGAAACCAGGAGGAGGACGAGAAGGCAACAACGGTCAAATGAAAAAAATCCCAAAATGAGAAAAGAAGGAAACGTTCGGAGGTCATAAAAGAACTTTGAGCATCACTTGTCTCGGTCTGATTGTATTTCCATGAAGAAATGATCATAAATGTTCTTCCTTGAGCTGCGGCACCCCGCTGTAGTCCGTAATGGACTGGCCTGAGGTCTCGCTACAAACAAGCGGCTGCCAAGTGTGTGTGTCTGCAAGAGAGTGGGTGAATTGTGTTTAGTCTCTTTGCTAGGAGGGGGTGTCTAACTTGGTGTTACGGTGTGTTTGACCCTGAATTAATTTCACACCCGAATATCCCTGACATCTTCAAAATGAACGTGTTTTTAAAAATTCCTCCTTTGTTCCTCGTTTGCAGAGAAAGAAATGAACCGTCCAGACGGACCTCTCTCTGAACTTCCTTATTCTTACTGTAAAAATTGGCTTTTTTGAATAGGTGTGTATGTAGCTTATTAGGCTTTTGCAGACAGCCTCTAGTGGACACTTGAGGAACTGCAGTTTTTAGCACTTTCATTTCAGCTTCATTTAACAGACCTATTCTAGCGTATGAACTCTGATAGCTCTGATGTTTTCCAAAGTTGATCACTCACTCGTCCCTCACAGCGTTGAGTCTCTCTCTCTCTCTCTCTCGTTAGACTCAGGAGGACGGGCTGAGTCCGGAAATTTGAGACTCTTCTCCTGATCGATTTGTGCGAACCTGACCTCAAACATGCGGCTGTTTCTTGGCTGGTTAAGATCAGTTCCTTTGCATAAATTGGCTGTCTTTATTTTGTGGTTTCAGAACATTTTCAAACTGGACCACCTGGACACGATCAACCCGTTTATCAGCAGGTCAAACTCTTGACTTCAGGAGTGAATGAACTTTGTGTTTCAGGGTTTTTTCTTCTCTTTTCATTGAGCGAAAGAACGAGGAAATTTCCCTCACTGCTTGATGAATTCATTTATTTGTTCTTCTGAGGATTTTTGCAGCAAATACAAAAATAAACTCATTGAACTCGGTGTGCAAGGCTGGGATTACAGATTTGAAAAATACATCTAGGTCAAGAATTTGATTCAGGACCCAAACTGAACAAGGGGAGTTTAAACCTTTGGATAAACCGATCTAAAGAAATATCAGACCATGCATAAATGTTCGATCCAGACTAACTACAGGTTTAAGTTGGTAATGAAGGTCGTTTTTTACCTGTTTAATAAGTGAAACTGCTGCAGATGGAGCTCCGTGTTGAGGGAAAGAGTTGTTTCTAAGAGGTGTGGAGGACATGCAGGATGTATTCATCAGTTTTAACTGGGTCACACAGCTGTTTACAATAAATAAGACACACGTCAGCAGCAGACAGTCTGTAATCACATCCATCATCTCCCCTAACCTTAAAGAGGCTGATGTAAGGATCATGGTGGACGGATAAACGCAGAGATGATTGGTACAAATATTTGGAATAATGTCCTCTCGTTGTGTCTGATTCCAGCCCGGCGTTGAATGAAAAACTCCTCCTCAGCAGAGTTTTCCTCCTCCTCCTCCTGAACAGCGAGCGTCCTCGCGGCTCGCTCGCAGCCTCAGAGCTGCAGTAATGACCCAGTTTCTCCTCAGGGACCCACAAAGTCATCTTGTTTTACAGCCCTTTGCTCCAAATTAACCGCTCAGTCACAATATCTCCGCTTTCCCATTCTGAATTGGATCATTATCAGCTGATGGATCGGGAAAAGCAGTCTGTATTTTAACGTCTCTGCGGCTGAATGGAGGATTTTTACGGGTGGACTCATGAGAGGAGCCGCCGCCTCCCTCCTGAGGCCCCGTGCTCCTTCCTCACCATCTATATGTGCAGCTGCAGACTTTAGCATCTACTGAACATGACTGTGGAGTGATCCCACACTGGTGAGTGGATATTTCACAGCTGGTGGTCAAACGGAACAAAATCTTGATATCTTATATCTCCTCCTGAAAGGGTTACAGTCTGAGTTTAAAGACGTACTCCAAATAGAGGAAGTTCACAACAACCTGAGACCGCCGGGACACCTCAGACGGCTTTGTGAGGACTTACAGAGAGCCACGCCCCCAACCAAAACGCCACTCTATAACCACAAATAATGCTCAGAACAGCACCTAACTTCATCAACAGGACATATAGGGTCACAGCCATAGTACTAGACACCAAACATCTTTTTAACTTTGACTCATTTCTTTAGCAAAGAGACTAAACACAACTCACCTACTCTCTTCCAGCAGACGCTTGTTTGTAGGGAGACCTCAGGCCAGTCCATTATGGACTACAGCGGGGTGACACAGCTCAAGGAAGAACATTTATGATCATTTCTTCATGGAAATACAATCAGACAGAGACGCTAAGACAGAAGAACTACCGCGTCTGTAAAATGATTAATATGGTGATTATTACTTCAAGGGAATGATGAAGAAATGATCATAAATGTTCTTCCTTGAGCTGCGGCACCCCGCTGTAGTCCATAATGGACTGGCCTGAGGTCTCACTATTGAGGTCATCTTTTGAGGGCGTGTCTAACTCGGTGTTACAGTGTGTTTGACCCTAACTTAATTCTACGCCGGAATATCCCTTTAATTTGGACAATCAGACATTTAAAATCTGTCATATTTTTCCAACAGGCCATGACAAAAACACAACCAGTTGATGTTCGTTTAATATTTGCTGTTTGGCTTTTTTTTTAATTCTTTTTTTGCTGTTGTTACCTTTGACAGCTCAGCATCTATCGAGGGTAAAAAAGACCAAAATAAGAGCAAAAACTACAGATTAATTCATCTAAAATCTGAGACTGAACCTAAAATAACACAGCAGATTGTTAGCGAGGAAGCTAAAGTTTCTGTAAGAAGCTGAGAATCACTTCCTCCTTTATTCCTGCCCTTCAGTTCTCTATAGAATAAACTTATAAACAAACGTGATCATGTTAGAAAACACATTTTATTCCTGCGGGTCGTTTTACATCCACAGATTATTCGTCTTTAACTCCCCCCCTCCTGCTCTAATGTGTTGTTATTTGACATCTTGTTTGTGTTTAATTAATCGGTCACAGAAGTGAGCCGTTTGGTTTCTCCAGGGCTGACAGCTGTTTCAGTGGAGCGGGGTCAGAGGTCACCGAAATTACGCCGCGTGTCACAATTACACAACAAATAACTGACGATACATTACGCAACAAGACTTAACAAAGTGAAAGCAGCCAGTTATTTCCCGATGAATAAATGAGCGTGTGTGGGCCGCGGTTTGGGAGTGAATCTATATTTAATGTTGTTGTTTAAAGAGTCAAAATGTGTTAATTCACAAGCGCAGGGATGACGGGACGCTAACTGCAGCTTTTAGCGTGTGTGTGCAGAGTCTGTGAACGCATTATCTGTACAAAGACACAGACTGCAATATGTGAGTGTGTCCACCTGCAGGGCACATGCTAATAACATGCATCAGTGCTGCACAGCTGTGCATGTGCAGACGGCATGTGCTGCCCTATTTACAGCACACACACACACACGCTCACACGCACACGCACACACGCTCACACATGTTGAGAGGGTGTCGAGGAGACACATGCAGCAGACGCTCCAAACTCTCAAACACCAACAACCCTGGACCTCCTGCTGAGCTGGTTTTAGGTTAAAGATGAGACGCAGAAGAGAGAGAGAGAGAGAGAGAGAGAGAGAGAGAGAGAGAGAGAGAGAGAGAGAGAGAGAGAGAGAGAGAGAGAGAGAGAGAGAGAGAGAGAGAGAGCGGGTGATCAGATGACAGGGGCAGCTCGCAGGAAATGCTGCATTCCTTCACACGTACCAAACACACACACAAATATACACACACACACACACACACACACACACACACACACACACACACACACACACACACACACACACACACACTCGGAAGTTTGATTGACGGCTCCCTCAAGGGCTGTAGTGAATTATTCAGAGAGAGTGTGACGGACCGACAGACAGGAGAGCATACAGAGAGTCAGAACATCAGTCATAGACACAGACGGAGGAGGAGACAGACAGACACACACAGACACACACAGGCACACACAGACACACACAGACACAGACAGACGGATCATCAAAACTTCCCTTCAGGCGTTTATTTTATTCCTAATCAATAACCTCATTAAATTTTACATTAACTCATGTACATTCATAACTGCGGACCTTTAAATTCTTTAAGAGTCTGACTTTGAAATTCAGCGCCTCGCCTCCTCACCTGCAGCCACGACAAGAAGAGAAGTTACAACTCAAACATAAGACGACTGCGGTGTTGTAACTGTCTTTGACTTTGTTAAGGTTCGATTTGTACTTTTTCACTGAACTAATGAAACTTACTGAATGTTTCCGTTTACTCACAGGTTGATAAGGAGGAACCTGATGAGCTACAGCACATATGTCAGAGTCAAGAGAAGGTTTTTTACGGCCCCTGGGATGATCTTGATTTATTATTAGAAGCGGCCCGCAGACCGCAGCAAGCCGGCAGCCCGCAGATCTTTTACACGCACCAATACTACATTTCCCACAATGCAACGGTGACGCACCGAGCAGTAGGCTGCTTCACTTCAATATTTATTAGCACAGCAGTCGTCAGCATAACAGTAAAATTAACTTTCAGATACCCATCAAAAATGGCAAAACGGAAGGTGGACACTGAGAACCGGGGGTTTCAAACAAGGTGGGAGTCGGAGTATATGTTCACGGACCTGTGTGTCTTCTGTGTGGAGAAAGTGTGGCGGTACTGAAAGAGTATAATCCGAGACGACATTATGAAATGAAACACGCGGACAAAAACAAGAATATGGACATGAAACAAAGGCTACAGAAGGCCGAGGAATTAAAACGATATTTTAAAAATATTTCAGTTGAGTGGATGATAGAAAATTGCTATTATTATTTTTTTCTTTGAAGTAAATTTAGCCCACTTTTGCCAAAATAGAAAATATAGGCTACTGATGGTGCCTTGAATAATACGGGTTTCTTTCATTTAATGTTCATGTTATGGGGATTTTTATATAAAGGAAATTTGTCTTTTGTGTCTGTTGAAAATTAAAGGTTACTGACAGAGCCATAAGAAAATATTGCTTTATTTATCTGATCATACTGGAATATATTTGTTAGGTTTTCAGTAGGTTCAATTAGGTTCACTAGACTATATGCGTCATTTAAAAAATTTTCAATGAACATTCGATCAGTCCGGCCCTCGGCTTGTAGCTAAATTTTTTATTTGGCCCGCCGTCCATTTGACTTTGACACCCCTGAGCTACAGGCTCTCTTTGTTCTGTTGGACAGGTCTGCGTCAGTAGTTACACACATTAATATTTTAGATCACATTTTAGTAAGACCGTGTGAACAGTGGTTGGCCTGTTCACGTTGGAGATAACTGGCCAATGATACTCGGTTGTGTTTAAGTCCAACGTCTGCCCAAGAAGATAAATGTGATGGAGATCCTACCCACTGAGAAATAGACGTCTATTAGACGTCTAGTTTTTTTTACCTAATTTCAACGTCTAGATTCTGTATATTTTTAGACTGAATTTAGACGTTGCACTTTAACCCATTGTTCGATGACTATTCATTTCAAAAAGCAACTCTGAGTTTATAACTGATCTCCAAGTACTTAACCAAAATTATTATAATAGCCACTGAGCGATGTACAGTGTAGAATAGTAAAGCTGGTTAGTCTAAACTTGGTCTAAATTTAGACGTCTAAAAAAATTCACTTTTCGACCTGTGGTAGTCTGATTTTAGACCAGTCGTCTCGGCTACATTTAGACGTCTTTTAGACCCAAAAATGCTCAGTGGGTTGGAGCTCTGTCACTGGGAGTCCAGCGCTGAATTACCTTCCATGCAACCTAAAAAAAACTGTGATATCTGAGAACTGAAGATGTCTCCGGTTGTCTTTGAGCAGTCGACTAAAGAACCGATTGTTACAGGAACAACAGCAGCAGACAGGTCTGAAGGTTTCAGTCACTCTGTCAAGACTATCATGTAATCAGCACAGGTCATGTGTTCACTCTAAACCGATATTTTCTCAGTGTTGAAAGAATAACCATCAAATGTTTGTGAATGAGCTGCAGAGAATACTCGTCCGATTTTCATTCAAAATCGTTTTTTTTCCCTTTGAGCCTCTTTCCAGAGCAGTTTTTCCTCGAACCCTCAAACACCAGCAAACCACGTCTAACCTTCAACCTGAACTAAACCTGCACAATAACAGAAATGAACTATTGGAGTCAAGGAGCTCAGTGAGAGGAGAGTGGTACTCACACCGACAGGCTAAACTCAGGGCACGCCGTCCTCACAACCGGACCAACGCTTAATACCAGAGTCTGACTGTCAGAGAGGCTGCTTTCATTCTTCACTCCAGGTCTGCATGTTTGAAGATTAACTTTGGTCCTCAAAGCATTTACATTAAAAAAAAAAAAAAAGGTTAAAGACAAAAGGTTAGACTTCTGAGACCATCAAACGCCTCGCTCCTTTCTTCCTGTCTCCTTTTCATTTTTAAAAGGAAAAACCGTCACAGTTTAACCGAGAGTGAACGCCTCTCTAAAGGTCATCAAAGATACCTCAAATTCCACAATGTGAATATTCCATGCAGCTGTGGAGCAGCCGTGAGATATGGACTCTCTGCACACTGAAGTCGAAGCTTTTAATACAAATGGATAATGATGCTTCAGCCAGATTATAGCGCCGTCTCCTGGATAAAACACCATAAAGCAACTTAATTCTTTGCACATTTAACCGCAGGCGATAATTACAGACGGGCTCGAACATTTTCTCCTGTCCAATTATCTTCAGACTGTTGGAAGTGTTTCTGAGAGGCTGGTTAAGGTGGACTACAGAGACCAAAAAGAGAGGGGTATTTTGTTCGTACATGAGCGTCTGTCTGCTCTTATACCATTTCACCTCACTGTCCACCTCTCCGTCTGTGTTTCTGTCTGACTTTTATGAATCTCTCACTTATTCCCCTGCAGGCTGCTGGACCAGACCCTGAGGGCAAAATGAAGGCTGAGAAACCGGGAAACTTCTGCAGCCTTGTTAGACAAAACGGCTCCAACTCGACAACCCTGACAGTAGAAAATAAGAAATACAGGGAAGAGTGGTCAGCTGGGAGGACAGGAGAGGAAAAGGCTGAATCCTTAACCAGACAGGGACGCGCATTTTCTGTCGCCATCTTTGTCTGAGTCAAGAAATGATCAAAAAAATCAAATTCTCATGATTAAAACTTTGAAATTTGTTTCCTGTATCTACAGAAGAGCTTGTAAAGATGATGTTTTCTCTTCTGACTGGATATAAAGTCGTCATGTTACGTCTGAAATCATGTTCCATATTCTAAAATCGACTCGTGTTTTATCACCTTTTTAGTGAAAAAGAAACTCACTAAAGGAGCGAGGTGAAATACGAGCGCCTCTCAGATTTCTAGTTCTGCAAAAACAGCAGCCGACTTTTATGCCTTGAATGTGATTTACAAACTTCTGAGCTCAAAAAATGCAGAAACCTTCCTCCAGATTGCTCTTCCAACCCGCGAGCCTGTTCCTGTGTGCCAATGCTGCTGCTGCTGCTGCTGCTGCTGCTGCTGCTGCTGCTGTGATTGTTAATATCTCCTCACTTTGGACCGGGCTGCTCTTTCTTTTTTTTTTATTGCGGGTTGTTTTTGTTTCACAGTACAAGATGAAAAATCGAAGAGGTTCAAATTGTTTCGCAGTCCAAAACAAACACCAATAAAGCATCTTATTGTTCCTACATGGGACCCAATCCGGCCGTTTCCAGCCTCCTCCTCTGTTCTCTCCACGAGTCTGATGTATCTACAGATCATTACAAGTCCAGACTCCTAAACATGAGGACCATACTCACAAAAAACAATTAAACTATCACCCAATAATCAGAGTAGTCCTCCATCATACTTATACTTACATGCAAAGACATTAAACAAGCAGCTGATAAAAATCTCCTCTACCTCCGGCTAACCTGCTCGGAAAAGCAGGTTAGCACGGTTTGTGAGTTGCAAAATTAACGAGCTATTAGTGATTTCATTAAAAGGCGAAAAAAGTTACCGCTAGCAGCTAAAATCTCAAAATTTAGTGCACCGTTACAACCTGTAGCCTGTATGTTAGAAAAGGTTAGGGTACCGTTCCCAAGAAAAAACGAGTGTAAGTAGGCGACAAGATGGGAGGAAAAATCCTACGAACTTCTAAGGACATCTGACAACAAAGCACTCCAAAGTTCCTGATCAATGATTGGACGATATAAGAGCACGATAACTGACTAAATTTAACGCTCATAAACACAGAGTCCTTCGAAGAATCTGGTCTGTATTTAACTTGTGGAAGCATTGTTTGTAAGGAAGCACAACTCAACATAACACCTGTTAGCATGCTGCGCTACACACCATTAACTTTGATGGAGTTCAGCTAATTTAGAGCACACATTCACCTACGACTTCTAAAATATTATTTATGATCTCTTCAGACTCTGAATTTTCAGCAGATATGGCCTTTGACCTGGTCTGAACAGCCAGGTCAGCGTCCACGCCTCTTTGACGTCTCTCTAAAAAGAAACCTTCATTTCAGCGCAGCGTTGGTTTAGCCACCCAGACAGTTGAAGTCTGTGTGATAAATACAATGAAAAGTACCTGTTGATGTTTGGGTTCAAAGATATCCACCGAGTATAAAGATGTCAAAGCTGCTGACGAAGCTGACATTTTCTTTTCATCGTCACTCTTCCAACATGGCTGCCATCCACCCGTTACCCCGGGGAACCGTCAGCTAAAGAGCGTCTGACTGACAGGCCTCGAAATTAAAATGAAAAGTAAGAGCAATAATCATTCAGTCACTTCATTTATGAATGAACAGCCGAGCAAAGCCTCCTGAACACACACACACACACACACACACACACACACACACACACACACACACACACACACACACACACACACACACAAATTCTGAATGATTCAGCGGATTGATCCTCATCGAAGCTGCCAGTTAGCCACTCGGGCTGATTATTAGCGCACACTGCTAACAGTCAGACCACCTGAACTGAGTGACCATTTGGAACCAATTCAATTACCGCTCTCTGGGATTGATTGATCTGGTCTGGCACAGGCAAGAACCAATTGGATTTCCGAAAAAATCTGCAACGCTGGCCGACCGCTGACCTCCGGTGAGAGCTGAGGCGGGAGCTCTGCTGGTCCGTCCACCTGTTCATGGTCTGTCGACACGACCAGACTTCCTCTGATCATTCACCGTCACCGACTGTTTGAAACACGTAAAAGACGAGAACGCTCCATGAACACAAACATCCCAAACTACACCAACATGCGAGCTTTTTCAGCCCCAAAAGCTCCATCTTTACTCATGGATTTCCTACTATTCCCAGAATGCCTTTCAACAACCTGTCACATAGAGAGCTGTGACCTTGCTCTTTTCAGCCGTGGATTTTAAATGTGGATAGAGAAAAAGAGATCAGCAGCAGCAGCAGCAGAGTGAGAGTCTCCACAGGTGAGTCGACCTTGATACAAACCTCAAACTGTTATTTTACTGCACTGCATTATGGGCCCCCGTGGCTGTTCGGTAATGATTTGAGGGACGTTTGTCTCCTCTAAATAATGAGGAGGATCATCAGAGTACAATTGATTTAAACAGTTTCACCTGAGAGAGAAAGTGATGACACTCATTACTCAATCACAGCAGAGCTGATGTCCACTGGATCACAAACTAGTGCCAAAAAATACTGGGTTAAAAAAAGAACTTTATAAATAAAGTCTAACTGAAATATTGATTGATTATACCCATTGATCTCCACCAACAGAGCTGTCTTGGAACCTCATTCAAACGGGGTTCCGGAACCTGAGTCACACAAGGCTGTTGCCGAGCAACCCCAACATTCTATGTCACAGTTTAAGGTGTATTGGTGCCTTCCAATGGGGTTTTGCTGACCGTATGGTTGTATTAACAACCATGCGAGTGAGTATTAGTTAACTAAGCTGGCTACCGTTTAACGCAGTAAGATATTCTGGTTAAAGTCATGGTTGAGGATTTTAGAGATTGGTAATTGTTATGAACTTTGTTTCTATGGCGACCATGGTCCTATAGAGCGATCTCCAAGTGAAGAGAAAAAAGAATGGAAAAAATCCGTTCATCCTATCAGGTGCAAGGCTGCAAAGACTTTGACCAATGGGAGCCATCCGTCCCAGACAGCTCCTATTGGTCAATCTCCTGCTCCGCCTCTCCATCCAATCACCTCCCTGTATTCGACACACCCCTCTCCCGTAATTTCGACTCGTCCCCTCCCACTCTCCCGGTCCTCCTCGGAGCTCTGAGCGGCTAAAAGTAGCGTAGCAGCTTAGCTACAGGAGCTGTGATGGAGAAGGACGCAAAAAAAACACGCTCGAATAAACATCGGGATCATCCTTGGAGCGGTGGAGAAAGCTCTGCCAGGATTTGGTCCTGAAAACAGACGCTGAGACAGCAGAGTTTTAGTTAAACAGGTAATTTTTATCTCCTTTTATGGTGGCTCATGTTACATAAATAACTCTTATTAGTCTCTGGACGGCGCTCGCTAGCAGAGCTGGCGTTTACTGCCGCTAGTCACTAACAATCCGACATGGTGGATCCTATTGGAAGCTAGCGTCGGATCTTCTGCCGGTGGCTTCTTGCTCTGCCAGAGGGGGGGTGTCGTGGAGAGGGTGATACAGGTTCAGGGGGCGGAGTTATCGTTGAGCACGCTGATAAATGTATCAGAGCACCTGGCTGAGGTGGAGTGAAACATCTCAGTGACATTTTGCACGATAATGGAGTGCCTGTCGTCCAATCAGATTACTTGGTCTGATCTAACTGTCGTTTAATAACATCTAAACTTTCAGTGAAAGTGCAGATCAGTAAAAAAAATGATCTCTGCTGTCACACAGCTGCTGGAATCATCTGGAAGTTTAATTATCAGTTTGATTATCCATCATATTCTGAGAATCAGAAGCAGCTACTCTATTATTATTATTCTCCAATCACTGAGCGGGTGACTCAAGACAAAAAATAAAAAGTAAAAGTCACCGAAAAACCGGGATTTCGCCTTGAATCCAGCGATTGGAATACAAACAAAAACAACAGCTCGCTGGCTGTTTGCTGAAGTTGTTTCAGAAGAACTAATTAATTTCTGAAGGTTTGATTTGGTCTTTGGTTTTAAACGAGGAAATGTTGAAGCCCTGGAGTTTTTTTTTATGTCAAAGAAATTGCAGTCGGAGAGCTCGGTGTTCGGTGGAGACGGGCTGAATATTAAAACCTGTTTAGCCAGCAGGATGTGCAGCAGACGGGCGGAGACAGGAGGTGCTGCTCGTTTTCAGCTTAAAGGTCAAACAGCGATTAAAGACACGCTTCTGTTTATCCAGTTTGGCTCATCTTACAAACCCTGCAGACACAATAATAAAGAAACACTTTTATTTTCATCGAACTACAATTAGCCTGAGCACAATCGATTTCTCCTTCAGTCAACTCTTTTCCACTGATCTACATCCAGTAGCTGTAACGTTAGCATGCAGACGTCGTTAGCTATAAAATCAGACCGTTAGCTTGGCGGCTACAGTCTCTGTTTCACCTGCTTTGACATGAGCAGGAGTTTTTTGTGAATGGGGATTGAATCACGCTGATGTATGCTACATTATCTGCTGCTTTAGCTCACCCACCACTATGTCTGCATCAGTGCAGAGGGAGGAAAATCTCCTTAAGTGAGCCGAAATGACCAGAACGTGTCTTTGAACTGGTGCTGATGGTACGGTGAAGTCTATGTCATGGCAGAGCGTGACACCAGAGGCGTGAGTACAACCAGGAAGTCACCGACCCCGACTTGGAGAATCTGTGTAAATGCAAAAACAGCCATCATGGCGTAAATCTCTGTCGCTCTGTCTTTTCTTTGAGCCCGTGGTCCACATATTTTTGCCAGTGATGGGAAGATCAGTTCTTTTGACTGAATCTTTAGAATCCGTTCATTAAAACGATCCGTTCAAAAGATTCATTTACTGAATCAGTCAGCGCTTTGGAGCCGCGTCCTGCCGGTACAGTTCACAAGTTAGTGACAGTAGCTGCGTTTCCATTACATTTTTTCGCAACATAAAAGCGATGTTTATCAAATTTCGACAAAGTACAATTGCGATTTGCGGGTGTTTCCATTGAATGGTGTTCAGTGCATAAGCGAACCGTCTGCCTCTCGCGAGCCGTGTTTAAATGGCCGTTGCCTAGCAACGAGGTAAACTTCCTGCCCGTGCGACCTCGTATTCCTTAAGCCTTTTTGCACACCGACATGGACGAGACACAAAACATTTTTCGTTTTGGAGCAGCTATTTCTGTGACCATTACTGCTGTTGCCGCTGCTGTCATCAGGAGACGAAGGCAGCGGGTGATAATTCAAAGGCAAAGCTCGTATGTATGGGAGCGAACACGGATGAGCGATTTCTGGGAGAGGATCGTTAATGAGGAATTCACAGACGAATTGTGGATTCAAAACTTCAGAAAAATACAAATACAATTCAAAACTTCAGAAATAAGTCCGTCTCCTCCCCCGTCCACATATACCGTGCCATCTACGCTTGAAATGAACTGGTCACTTGACCCGCTACGTCACGTCCGGTGACAGAGAATTGCGAGAAAAGTGTTTCCATTACACTTTTGCGATATACTTCTATATCGACACTTCTGAAAAACCACCTCATGAGAGCGTAAAAACTTTTTAGCGATATTTGGGAGGTTTTTCGAAATGTAGGTGTTTCCATTACCAGTTTTCTATTGCGATATTTACGTTTTGCGCAAATCTATGGGTAATGGAAACGCAGCTACAGATGTGAATTCGTTCACTGGGTGAGACGTGTCGTTCATTCGCCAAGTCCTGAAGGAAGAATCACTCCCCTGCCCTCAGAAACTCACCCCGACACAGCAGCGAGCAGCGCGAGTCGTCGTTCTTTTATCTTGTGGAAAAGTGGAGAGATTAAAAATAAATAAACATGGCAGCTGTAGCGAGGATTCTGATACTTTTGAAGATACCAAATGGTGTATTTCTTTAAATCCGCTGAAATTAAATCCTTCTGACAAGAAAGTTTAAACACATGTATTTATGTAAAGACGCTATAATGTACTGATTTATTTTAGCCTCAGTGAACGAACCAATACTCGGCAGTTCATGAACGATGCTACACATTTCCTCCTCTGTCTGCCTCAAGTCGTTCGTTTCGTTCACAGTCTGACCGATACATGTCGTTTATTCGCTGTGAGCAAATCACGAGACTCCGCCCACCCACCCGCTCGCTGGCTGGCTGGCTGTGCGTCGCTCGCCAAAGAGTCAAAAGCGGCAGTTCCACTCCTGATCAACACGCCAGGCCCATGGCTGAGCTCAACTGAACCAAGAAAGGAAAGAATCAGATCTCGGAGTGATTCTGTTAACGTTCAGGAAACATTCATGAACGACACAACACTAATTTTTGCAAACGTAGCTTTAAATGCTCTGATGTCCTTTCTCTAACTTGCACATGGCGATTACTGTTTGCATACTCAGCATGCACCGAGTTGGTGGGGAAACTTCAGGAGCACAAATACAGAAGAAGCAGGACACACACAAAAAAGGTTTTAGTCCCCTGAAAAGAAAACTGCACTTTATTCTTTGTGCTGCTAAAGCTCGGTTATTCAAACAGGCCCCCATGTAAAAAGGAGTGAGTCATCAGCGTACCGTGTAAAGGTCTGACTGTCGGTCCTGTTGCTATTTGGTTCACATCAGTCCTGCCGCTCCTCAGCTGTTCGATCAGAAATGTTAGAAAAAGGCAAAAACATCCTCAGAACATCCGAAAAAATGTACCCGTGGAAGAAAAAGATCACGAACCTTTTTAAAGTCTTTGTCACGTTGGGCAGATCTTCAAACCTAAAGGTAGATTTTTAGTTAACTAATCTTGATCTGAAGAACAGCCTGAAACAGAAATCTGATAATTTAAGCTCATCTTAAACAACATAATCTAGATTTTTCCGTTAAAATATCCTGTTTCTTTAGTGTCTACTCATCATGAAGACACTCCTCACACTGGCAGCCCCATAAAACTGTCAAACATGTTGAATATTAAAACGTCAATAGAGGAAATACGAACACGATGATGTTTTTGTAGAATCACAGACTTTTACTTGAAAAATTTCCTCTTCCTCCCGTTTCTGTCTCTGCTGAACGGCTTCAATTCAAAATTATGATTCAGGTGATTGACAGGAGACATGTGCTAACATATTCCAGCCTTGAGAATAAAATTATTCACATTCAGATGTCAGTCTGCAGCCCGGCAAATTATCTGCTTCGGATATGAGGAGGAGAAGGATGAAGACTTGATATATATTTTTTGTGCTTCCAACATTGATCAGGAGATGAGATCTGAATTACAGGTCCAGGTGTAAATAATGAATCTGAAAAAGCATGTTCTGCTGCAGGGGTAATTTCCCCATGTGCTAAATAAATCTCAGCTCATCAAATTTAAAACCCGAGTCAGACTCTGATCCCAGTCACAGCGAGGGGCGTCCAACTCTCCCGGCAGCAACTATCCCATTAAAACCAACTCATTCTCATTCTCGGCTCTCAGCATCTTATTGTTGTTCATTAAAGCAGTTCATTACCCCGTCTGCATGTAATTATTCTGCTCTGAATTCCCAAATGCTCTATTTTAGAATTAGCTGGTGTTAAAATGGTGTTTTCCTGTCTTCTTCTGCCTTCACAAAGAGGTCAGAGGTCGGCTGCAGGCGTAGAGGAGGTAGTGAAAAGGCTCAAGGACACTTCAGCGAGGAGGGAGGGGGGAGAGTTATTAACTGACAAAACCAACAGAAGTCGGTTTGATCCTCTCCAACCGGCTTTGTTGTTTAAGTGTTTAAGAGCAAAGGGTTGTGTCGACTCCGACTTTTAAACAAGGACAGAAAACTGATGTGAGGTTTCTGTCCGATCTACAAACCAATCAAAGTGAAGCTGCATATATATCCTGTCTTTGCTGATGCTCTACCCGCCTTGGCTGTTCATAAAAGTACTTGAGGTGAAGGTAGGTGTGCTCTACCTGCCTTGACTGTTTATATACCCACCTTTAGTGAAGGTAGGTGTGTTCTACCTGCCTTTGAAGTTAATATACGTACTTAAAGTAAAGGTAGGTGTGCTCTTCCCATGTTGGCTGTTCATATATGCCCTTTAAGTGAAGGTAGGTGTGCTCTACCCGCCTTGGCTGTTCATAGAAGTACTTGAGGTGAAGGTAGGTGTGCTCTACCTGCCTTGACTCTTAAAATACATTCTTAAAGTGAAGGTAGGTGTGCTCTACCCGCCTTGGCTGTTCACACACATACTTAAAAAGAAGGCAGGTGTGCTCTACCTGCTCACCCCTAATTTCCTACACATCCAGAACGGCTACGAAAAGGCTGTACCCACTGATCGGAGCTGATCGTAACCATTCAAGTTAACGTGTCAATTTACACCGACTTCTTTCCGTTCCTCTGCGGATCGCCGGACTCCACAGCTGATCACAAGAGTTCTAGTTTTTCCGGATGCTGGAGCATGGCGGATAAATTCAGCACAGATTAACCCGTGCTGGAAAGGAAATCCGTCTTCTTTTCAAAATAAAACACTCTGTTTTAGGCGGATCGTATTTCACACCATGCAAACGGGCGGAGACGAACAAGTGAGAGGTTTTTAGACGTCATTTCACCCCGATGACACCATGGATGAGGAGATGCTGATTCTAGAAGTCTAGAAGTAGATTTCCACAATCTACTGCTTATATGGTTAGCCTATACGAAATTACCTATACCTACGAAATTTGCCTCTCAAACGGATCAGGTAGGAATTGGTGGACGGCCGTTCCGGATGCGGTGAAAATCGGCGGTCAGGCTTCAGCTTTCCACATCTACAGTGCAACACAAAGTGCTTTACACTAAATATTCTCCCTCCCTCCTTCTTCACGCTCAGAAAGCAATAAACAGAAGATAACTGGTTTTGTAATTAAAAAAAGAACTTAATAAAAGCAGCATTCAATAAAAACAAATCAAAGCAGGGGCTGAAAAATCTCATTATTAACCTTCGAGAAACACCAGAGACAAAGAGAGGAATAAAACACCGAGGCGAAGGAGCCAGACTTGTTCAGTAAACGTGTCGTGTTGAAAAAGTTTCTTATACTTCACTAAAAACTGAATGGACTCGTAACACAAAAAAAAACAGACAACTTCCTGCAGCAACTTCACAATCAACAGGACAAAAGAGGGAAGAAAAGCTTTGTGCTGCCGAGCCGACTGCTGCTGGAAAAACTCATATTGAAGAGAAAGTTTTTTCATTACTGCGCGGTCTGGAGCTGCAGGGTACAGTATAGATTCAGAGCTATTTCCTGACTGTGTGCATTCCTCTAAAGTTACCAGCGAACACTTGTATGTCAGCGAGCGTGACCTCAGGATGTTTGATTCGATGACCTCAGAGCGGTCTCAGACTCGTGGGCGGTTTGACTCGGCTCTCTTTCAGTCACAGGTCTCTGCCTCTACAGACTCGGGTCTTAACTAAACCCAGAGTCCTTCTTTTCTTTCACCTAATCCTGTTTCTGATTTCTTTATCTGTTTAGTCTTTCGCTGCGTGCGTCGGCGTCTGCCCTCAGCACTGACTGACAGGCTGCTCTCCCGTCACTCAGGTGTCAGTTCATCAGATTTCCTGTCTGTTGCAAGAGCGGGTGATGTTTATATTCTGCGGTGCATCTTTGCTGTGTAAACATATTTACTCACATTGTTGGTCTTATGCAAGGCTGTGATGAAAGATTGCATACTGTTGCAGGTAGATTGCGATGCTAGAGGAAATAATCGGAGTCTTCACTGAAGGAAGAATGTGTCTTTTAACCGAGGAGTTCTGAATTTCAATTCCACCAAGACGACGTCTGCTAGAAATAACATAAAGAAAGTGCTGGTTCTTCAAGAATCAGCTCATTTGACTGACAAATAGTGCAAAATATTAAATTATTCATGGTAAATGTAGCTTCAGTTTGTACGCCGTGAAAAGGGAAAGTTTGGAAAACTCTGAAAAGTGAAGCAAAGAGTGACGTTTATAAAAAAGGACCTGTCTAAGGCACGTTGGTGTGTTAACATGTTAAAAACAGCTGATGATTTATGACCAAAGAAAGTCTTCGTAACCCGAGTAGGAGGATTATTCTCTGACAGGAACGAGCAGATCTACTGGTTAAAGACATCTCATCGATACAAGGAAACAAAGGAAGGAAGGAAGGAAGGACACAAGGAGAGGGAAAGAGGCCTTCACAGCTCCTCATGAGAAACAAAGCGAGACTGAAGTATCGAATGAAAACCTGCATCAAGGACCGAGCAGTGCGTCTATAGTCTCTATTTAAAGGTGGTGAAGGCAGGTTTCCGTTAAAGAAGCATCTTTTTATTTTGTGGTGTATAAACAAAAAAGCTTTTAATATCAATCAATAGTTATTAGTTATTGATGACATTTGGGAATATAACCACATCTCTGTGTTCTCTTATGTCCTTGGTTGTGAGGCATTCCAGGTCCTTGAATAACGTTCAGGAGCCCAAACAAAGTTAGCGTGCTACAATATCGGACAGTAGAAACCAACCAGAAAGTTCGGAAAATTGTCTGAATCCTCCTTTGGCCACGACTTCCGACACAAGCAAGAAAACAAAGTAAATACCGGAGACTCTGGAGGAATAACGGGCGCTTAAAACGGAGGCAGACCGGACAAGAGCTAAAAAGCCGGGTCAACATAAACCATGGGGGACGCTTGGGGATCTTGGTGACCCTGTAACCTTTCTGCTGGACAGGTAAACCGCTTTAACAAAGTAAGACAAGTGTCTGTAACAGAAGTGTTTCTTGTCAAACGGACCTGCTGTAGCGTGTTGTAGCGCCATCGCTAAACTGTCCTCCCTCGGGTCCTGGACTATGTCACTTTATCCTCGTTGTAGAAGTCCTGCAGACATTGTGTTTGCTGGTAGTCTGTTGGCATCTACAGTAGCACCAATGCTTTTGACTTTCACCTTGACTGGGCCCCATTTGTAATGATCTTAAGTATTCATCTGCATTATATCTGAATTTAATTGGAACGATACGAGCGAGCAGGAGCGTCTGTTTGTGGGCGGGGCTTGAGGGGAGAGGAGGAGCTGAGGGGAAAACTGGTTGGGATATCTGTCATTTATACCCTTCACACACTATTTGGAGTCATGTGGGGTAAGGGTGTGGATGGGTGCACCTTAGACGGGGTCTCCAGCCTATCACAGAGCAGAGATTTACACCTGTGGGCGGTCTAGATCCACTGGGGAACCTAATGAGCTGTGGGAGGACACGTGCATGCAGACGGTCAACACAGATGTTATACATGCAGAATTGTTAAAAAACAGATTTACAGAAAGTGAATTTAAGTTTATTTTTTCTCCCTTCCTGGAAAACGAGTTTTTGTATTAGTGAATTTAATTGAATTTAATTAGTCGAGCAGTTTAATGCAACAAGTTGATCAAAGCAGCGCTCAGCCTCAGTGATGTGTGTGGGCACTGAATCCACTTTATCAAAAAATACTGCAGCTCCACAATAACTTGAAACGTCTTTTCTTAACAGTCGGTTTTAGCAGGTCCTGAGAGTCCTTCAAAAGTCACCGGGGAACTCTCAGCAGGCTGTGACATTATTAACAGAAGAAACGCTAATTACTCCGACAAATACTCCAACAGCTGCTTCGTTGTTTGGATTTGAAGTGAAATGGTGGAAATATTTGAAGAGTGGCGCCTGTTTTGGTGCGGCTCACATCCATGACATTAAAAAAAAAAAGTCAAGGGTGAGAAGTTAGGGGTTATTTTTTCATTTTCATGGCATCAGCTATGCCAAGTACATAACAGGCTTTCCATCAGCTGCAGACACAACTCTGCGAAAACCTGAAAATGTAAAATAGATTTACCCTAAAGATCAAAAATTCACCCTGATGTCAAAATAATTCATCTGAATAAGTTCCTTGGAATTACAAAAACATCTTGTTACAAGAAACCATCAAAAGCAAATATTGTTTACTATCATTTTTACTCATTACTTTCAATTAAGACCTTTTCTCTGGCTAATAGTAATAATAAGCATCTCTGCACAGAAGATCAGCACACAGAGATCATCTATAAAATCCAATTTTGACAAAAGACGCCTCAAGAATTTCCCCCTGTACTTTGACTTGAGTTAAATATTTTTGTACTTTTTCCACCGATGCAAGAAACAACAACAAGACAGAGACAAAACATTAGAAACTGGTGGTTAAATGTGAACAGATTTAGCTTTTTCAGATTAATTCCCCAAATAATGACAAACCTGCAACAAAAGAAACGAGTGGGACCTGAATTACCACAGTTGTGCAGACTCAGCCAGATCACTTCCTTTTCAACACAAGGAACTTGCAAGATGAAGCGATTTTCTACAATTTTTAAAAATTCTAGTGAATAAGCAACAATTTTACATGCAATATTCCTCGATTCAGTCTCAAACACGCCTGAATTTAAAGGGTTAAATGGACACGTATGTTGAAACTGTTCCAACCAGATTACCAACCCAAGAGACATCTGGACTAAAGCAAAGTCACATGCATGAGGAAACAGATCTGAAACTTTTGATGCTCCGGGATTAAAAAGAGCAAGAAAAATAGAAAAAAGGGGAAAAATTTGCACACATGTAGATTATAACACAGCGATACAGAGAGCCACGAACTCAACCAAAACGCCACTCTATAGCCACAAATAATGCTCAGAACAGCACCTAACTTCAACAACAGGACATATAGGGTCACAGTCATAGTTTAATGGGAAGCAAGCGGTCGGCAACATCCATCTCTCGACAGGTGAAAAAGTGCGATTAATTATAACGTTCAAATTTAGGATCGGAGGATTTAAGACGTTGCCTCATTAAACGATTGTTCGTCATTCTTCTATTTCAGATCGTAACTCATAAGTCACAACGTTAAATCGTCTCTCTGTGCTTCCACTAGCTCACTGGCAGCTGCTGCTTCTTCTTCTATCAGCGTAAAGGAATAATCTTTTGGTCAAACTTTTGTCTGATTTTTAGCACAATATCAATATTTTGTACGTATCAGTCCCCGCCATCGGTGGAGGTAACTTGCATAATTTCCTGTTGTAACTCTTCAGCAGTTTCAAACATCACAGTTACTTATAGGATTAGTAAATTCCCTCTGATTATCATTATTATTTTGATTTTTGTCCATTTAGAGGCTTTAAGAGGTTATTAAGTTGACACATCGTCTCATAGAGATGGAGCTTGACTGAAGAGGAAACATCTCTGAAAAGACACACGTTAACGTTCAGGACCGCAGGAGAGGTTGTTATCCGTCCTGTTTGAAAAGCTTCTTTACACATTTTCCCCGCTCACGCCTTCGTTTACATCTCATCCGTCCCACTTCTGCCCTTATCCAGACATGATCCCGGGGGAGAGAGGATCCATTTTTTCAGATCAGTAATGTGACAAGAGGAGGAGAGCGGTGAGGTCTAAACCACGGAGCTGTCGATGTTCCTGTCAGCATGTCAGGACCATGATACACACACACACACACACACACACACACACACACACACACATATATTCAGGGGGAGCAGAGAGAGGCTGCATGTTGGAGCTCCTGTGTGCAGCCGCTCACAGTCTGTCACATCCAGAGCAGAAGGGCAGATGGACAAAGAGGCTCATTCAGAGGAATTCATCTTTCTACTATGACTGCTGCGAGTCTCGTGTGAGCGCACGGGCTGCAGATCCAGCCTCGCGCGGACCCCCATCCCCTCTATCACTCCTGATTCCTGCACATTTGTGTCACCCATGCATGTAAGGGGAAAGGTGATTTTTTTTTTTTTTTTTTTTTTGGGGGGGGGAATGCACGTGAACGGGCATGGAGGCACGCACACGCAGACAAACGTAGTGAGCACGCACGTACACACAGTTGCAACTCTAACGCTATCCTGCTGGGAATGCAACGCTCACATGTTAAACACGTATGCACACACGCGCGCGCGCGCACACACATGCACACCCCTCTTGTTCAACCAGCGGTCCTACCTCCACACTTGTCCCAGCTGCAGGACGTGAAGCACGGTCTGAAAGACCCACATGCAGATGGTGCAGCACCTCCGCGGGGTCGCGACTCTCCCGGCCGTCGCAGGCGGGCTAGAGGACGTGTAAACCGGGGTAGCGTTCGCAGCGTTCCCTGCCGCCGCGCTCCCACCGCGCTGGTCGCTGTCCTTGGTGCTTATACTGTTGTCGTCGAGCGTGGCTGCCGCTCCGCCTGCTGCCGCGCCTGCCGCCGCCGCCGCGTCCGTCCCGCTGCCGCTCGAGCCGTCCGCGCCGCTCAGCTCCGAGTAGTCATAGACGAACCACCTGAAACTCAAAACCTGGACCACGGCGGAGGGCACCACGACGAAGACGAGCGTCAAGCCGAACCACCAGTAGTCACCTCTCAGGTAGTAGTCGGCGGCCAGCCACAGGTCGGTCGCGCCGTCGGAGAAAAAGACGAGCAGGGCGCACAGCACCCAGCAGCAGTCCAGCAGGGTGTAGGGCTTCCCGCCAGCGGCAGTGCAGCGGGGCCGGACGGCGGGGATCCCCGGCTCCGAGAGGCTCCTGGGCGTGTTGTCATCTTCCACAGACACCGCTGCTCCATCCGACTTAGCGGCCATGTTGGATAGGATAGGAGAGAAAGACAGAGAAAGAGGTGGGGATACGGGAGAGAGAGAGAGAGAGAGAGAGAGCGAGGGAAAAAAGAGGAGGGAGGGAGGGGGCTGGATGTGGAGAAGCGAGAGAGAGAGAGGGAGAGAGATTACATCATAACTAGCCTCATCATCAGCCAATTAATTGTGAGGCATCATTACTAAGAGCGTTTAACGCCGCGGCACCAGCGCGACGTTTGCAGGACGATCAGCGCGCAGATCTGCAGAAAGATCTGACCTGCAGCTCTTCATTCTCTGTCTTTACACCGACAAACCTGTCCTGACTCTGCAGCTGCAGCAGCTCCTCTCTGCTGCACATGACAACACTGTATTCAAACCCAGGTCTCACACGCTGAGGAGGAGTTTCGCCTCGTTTTTACTACTAATGTTGTAACCCGGAGACTCTCCTGCAGCCTGTCTGCGCTGAAACCATAAAATGTGCAGCGCATTGACTCAGAATCATGACCCTCCTTTGATCGATGAAATTTTCAGACAATGCATTCAGCAGTAAAAGGAGCCCAGCGTGACATTTTGGGCTGTTATTTATGAAGAGGAGGGCTGTGCTGAGGCTGACAGATCTGCTGTTAAAACCACAGGCTGCTGGAGCAGAGAGGTTAAAGGGTAATACCACTGTTTTTTTCTTCAGGGCTTTTCCTCTGTGCATAGACTCTGAATTCTTAGAAATGAATGTTTCTCTCTTTTTTGGCTCAGAGGAGGATTTCTCAGTCTGAGATGATCAGCGAGACGAAACTTTGGTTTAAGCATCTGCATATAAAATCGCTTTTTTCATGATGTTACACGTATTTTTGATAAACGCAGGTCCAATAAGTTGTACAAACACCTCAAATACAAAAAGGTTTCAGGATATTTGCAGGTTTACAACTGAACACAGTATAAATTTAAAGGGATATTCCGGGTTGAATACACACCGTAACACCAATTAGACACCCCCAACTTTAGTAACGACCGCAGGATAGTAATACAGAGAGCCACGCCCCCAACCAAAATGCCACTCTATAGCCACAAACAATGCTCAGAACAGCACCTAACTTCATCAACAGGACATATAGGGTCACAGACATAGTACTAGACACCAAACATCTTTTTAACTTTGACTCATTTCTTTAGCTAAGAGACTAAATACAACTCACCTACTCTCTTCCAGCAGACGCTTGTTTGTAGGGAGACCTCAGGCCAGTCCATTACAGATTACATCGGGGTGCCGCAGCTCAAGGAAGAACATTTATCATCATTTCTTTATCATTTCAATGGAGAAATGATCATAAATGTTCTTCCTTGAGCTGCGGCACCCCGCTGTAGTCCCTAATGAACTGGCCTGAGGTCTAGTCGGTATAAAATATGATATTCACACATTCTTAGATATTAAAAACGGTTAAAGTCGTCTATTATCTAATTCCTGCTCTTGCTTGTTGTCTGTAAACCTTGGGGACTCTCTCCCTGGCCTTGAATACAGACCCTCACTTACTTCGCTCTCCTCCATATTTCGCTGCTGCACAGAGAGTTATGGGTCAGGTTACCCAGCATGCACTGCTGCTTGCACACTGCAACTTGCAACTTTTGCATGTTGTTTTGGCAAAGATAGATTACTTGCAGTAACTGGATTGCTAAGATGAGTTTTACCAGACTTTGTAAACGTGTCCTGTAGTAAAGAGCTGCCAGTCTGATGAATCAAGTCTGATGAATTGTTAATTATCATTATTGGGTTAAATGATTCAGATCCAGAGTGACGCGCTTTGGTTTCAAACTTCCACCTGTGTTTCTCTGGAGGATAAAAATGTCCCGTTTTCAAACTTCTTTTCCCTTGATTTGATTTTTTAAAGTAAAAACGTATTTATTCTTCCTCAGCGAAGTGAAATATTCAGAAATATTTTATTCATAAAGGACTTTGAAAACTCTTGGTGTCTGAGTGTTTTACAAGCACAGACATCAAAACAAACAGAGAAGTGAAATTGAGGATTACATAAAGGCTGCTCTGCTAAATGAGATTTTAGGGGTTCTTGGAGGATTCAGAGGAAAGTTAGTCCTAGAGGAGACGAACTGTCACCTCATGATTATTGTAGCTGTAAAATATCACCATAACGATGATCAAGATATTTGTGGAAAACAAGGATAGAGCAAAACAAAACTTCATAAACTTAACTGATAAATGCAAATAACTTATAATCATTATCTGTCAGTAATAATGTTAAAATGTAGGATTGAAGAGGATTTAAGACCGATTTATTTCTTCATGAAAATACAATCGAAGTCCATAATGGACTGGCCTGAGGTCTCCCTACAAACAAGCGTCTGCTGGAAGAGAGTAGGTGAGTTGTGTTTAGTCTCTTTGCTAAACAAATGAGTCAAAGTTAAAAAGATGTTTGGTGTCTAGTACTATGTCTGTGACCCTATATGTCCTGTTGATGAAGTTAGGTGCTGTTCTGAGCATTATTTGTGGCTATAGAGTGGCGTTTTGGTTGAGGGCGTGGCTCTCTGTATTGCTATCCTGCGGTCGTTACTAAAGTTGGTATAACTAGAGAAGCAAGCGGTCGGCAACATTCATCTCTGGAGGGGGGGTCTAACTCTGTGTTACGGTGGGTTTGACCTTAAATTAATTTTACGCCGGAATATCCCTTTAATAAGAATTCTAGTCCGTTTCATGACCAGTTAAAAAACTCCTTATACGGGCTTTAATCTCAACAAAGTAGCTGTCAGGATGTCAGCTGTCCTCCAGACCTCTGTAATTGTTCAGGTTGGAGTTTATCTATCTGAAGATGATTGATGTGGAGCTCAGATTTAGATTTCTGTTGCACTTCTATCAGACTCTGTATCTCACACGTGTAAGCAGCATCAGTCTGCAGTATTTCCTCCTCTTCCTCTGCAGCTGCACCTCTCCGGGTCTTTTAGGAGTATTCGTCCGATTGTAACGGGGCAGCGGTGCATAAAGCCGACAAGACTCAGAGCAACTGGTCTGTTTACAGCAGTGACCCGGCTAATTGAAAAGATCCCATAAACTCTGCAGAACAGGCAATGAAACTCCTCTGAGTTACGACCCCGCGCCTCACCGCCCTCAATAAACTAATCTGACCACGTGCTGTTTCCAACATCAGGACCGAGCGAGCCGGGTTTATCCGAGCCGGGGTCAGGAGCAAAGATGTAGACGGTCGTTTGTTAATCTGAAGATTTGCTCCGGGTGAAATGAGTACGAGGACCTCAGAGGAAAACCCTGAAGGAAACGAAGACGAGAAGCTGTATTAGAGGAAGTGTGCAGCTCTGGAAATTCTGTCTGATCTGATCATGAAAATTTCAGACAAACTCAGAGTCGACGGAGTGGAGTAAAAGAGCGTGGAGTTTTAGGTTTGTTTTTCAGCTCATTTTTCTTTACATTTATCTCAAAAGTTTCTCTCTGGACGGCTGTGTTATTGATGATGATGATGAACTCTTTTACACCTCCACGTTTAATCGGCCTGTAAAACACAGACGGAAAAATCCTCTCCCAGATGGTTTTGAACGCCTCACCGCCGTATTACCCAAAGCTGGGAGCGCTTAGGTTTTTGTTTCGCTGCTTATATTAAAAACACACAAATTTGTCTGAATATTTTTCCTGATAAATGACGCTTATTATGAGTTTGAGACTAAGGGGAGCTAATTAGAGATCCCAGCTCATCACAGCTCTGACACACTTTAGAAAAACAGAGCCGAGTTTCAGCGACGAGCAGAAACTCTCTGTCACAGTCTCACCACAATTATGGAGTTTAAAGTTTCATACGAAGTTTCCGCAAAGTTAAACAACCATGAAATAAATGATACGAGTTTAGAGTCGAGCTGAGGAAGGACTCGTGTCTGCCAGACTTAAGTGGAGTCATCCAGGCATGGACTGGACCAGTCCGACCCCCTAAGATAAAGGGTGTGACGAACAAATTAGAGGGTAGCTGTAATTTTTAAATCTCAGAGTTTAACTCCTGTATTCACGCCTGAAATAATCCTGTAATTTAATTTCTGACGACCTGAAAGGTGGTCAATTATAGCTGCAGAGCGTTGGCTGTGACAGAGAGACTATCATACTCAAACATACAGCTGTTCAGCAGGTTTGTGGACTTCATCAAGGAACATCTGTATCAGTCTGAACCTTCTTCTAGTGTACAAGAGTGCAAAAGTCTTAAACAAAAGCAACCATGCAAAAGTTACTATGACCGTAACCAGGAGATTAAAAGAGAGCCTGACTTGGTACAGAACTCAAATGTTTAAAAACCTGTGACTTAATTCATTAAACTTGCTGAAAAAACTGTATTTGCATTTAAAGTCTGAACCTCCAATAATGTTCTCATGTCATTTCCACAAGTACAAAACAAATTGGATTTCCACAAAGAGACTTTTTTGCCTATCTTCAAGTCTGTCACTTCATCAGTACAAACTTCAAGCCAACTCAATCAGAAACACTGGGGGACCAATTGATAAGTTTATAATTAATTTTACATTGATTAAAGGTCTTATGACATAGGTTTATAATAGTCTACCGAGTTATAACCAACACAATATTGATGGGCTTGTTGAACGATGGGAGGAGGACCTTCAAAGTGTATACAGTGAAGATGCTTGGGAGGGATGCATTCAGACTTTTTTTTATAAATATAAGGACACATATTTCTTTAATTGATGACACATTGTTGTGTTGTTGTAAGTGGAGTTTTTCTTTTTCTACCCTTCTTTTTGTTTGTTCCCCCCTCATGTTTTATCCTTTTCTTGTCATATTCTACCTCATTTGAGTTAAAAAGGTGTATAGTTCTATGTAAATTCTGAAAATAAAATAAATTCTATTAAAAGTTGTTTTTTAAGTTTTCAAAATTGCAGATTTTTCACGTTTAAATGGTAGAACTAACCTAAAAAAACTCAACACTTGTCTATAATTCTACAGTAGAAGTTAGTAATTTATTGAGATTATCAGTGAATTAGTTTTATAATATATAATGTGTGTCATCTCTAGTAAAAAAAAAAAAAAGGAATTCTTTAGAAATTGGACATTTTGTGGGCGGGGTTTACGTCCTGTTCTGCCATCAGTCACCAGGGGGAGCTCTCAATATTTTGGTGCCACTTTCGATGACTTTACTCTAACAGTCCATTCAAGTTTTCCAGAAATATTTTGAAGTAAAAAATAAAAGTGTGCAAATTAAAACTCCTGTGAGGAACGTTTGACTTGTGTCAACTTTGGCGCCCCCTGTGGACAAAGCAGTCTTTGCTTATCTCGAGCAGTTATTTATGACACCAAATCTCAAATTCTGGATTTATTGTGATTATTATTAATGCAAATCTAAAAACACGGCCCCTTTTTAAGCGATAAGTCTTGATTTGTTGTCTTGACTGATTTCAGACGATAAAAATAAGGATATAAAAATCTTCCGTTTTGTCGCTGATGGCTATTGTAATTAATCTGACGAGTCAAGCATTAAAGGCATAGTTTAATCACATTATTTTCAACTTGTGTTTTTAAAAAGTCTGAGATAATTTCGCTGTTGCTCCTCCTTATCGGGCCTGTTGAGTCTGCGATAACATGTTTGATTAAATACCTCTCCTGTCTTTGTAGCGCCCCCTACAAGGAGCGCTAATTCAGTGTGTGGAAGATAAAATGTTCCCGAGGGAGCCTGGACTCTCTCCCCGCTGCCTCACCTGAACTCACAGTCTGTCTTTATATCACTCACAAGCTGCACATTCCTGACAAATGAGGGTCATTAGGAGTTTGAGAGCGCGGGGAGCTAATTAGAGGTCTCAGATCAGTGCTGCTGCCGCTGCTGCTGTGATACACTTTGGTGAATACACAGACTCCCAGCTTCACAGGGACTTCTTAAACATCTGCACCGGTCCACCACTGGCTTCAAATAATGATTTTTTATGGCTGGTGTCGCTTTAACTTTCAGTGGAGAGTGACAAAGAGAGACAGGAGTTATATAATGAAGCTAATGTGTGATGTGAACTGACAACTTTGAGCGTGTCTGATGGAGTCTGGTGAACTCTCAGGACGCAGCAGACCGCTGCTCCTGAACAATTATTACGCTTATCGTTAAAGGTACGAGAAGTTTTCGCAGTCTGAGTTTCCCGAAGAAGAGTTTTGAAGAACCTGAACTTTTGGACGACTCAGCCAAAAGGTACAATGTGCTCACCTTTCCGTCACGTAGGGCTGTATTTACTTTGTTTTCTTGCTTGTGTCGGCAGTCGTGGCCAAAGGAGGATTCAGACAATTTTCCGAACTTTCTGGTTGGTTTCTACTGTCCGATATTGTAGCACGCTAACTTTGTTTGGGCTCCTGAACGACACGGGGGAGCAGCGTCTGCCTCACAACCAATCAGGTTAGAGGAGGTGGAGAACGGCTTTGTTTACAGTCAGAAAGAGAAAATGTTAACTACACAGACAAAAGAGAACACAGAGATATTGTTATATTATCAAATTTCATCAATAACTAATAACTATTGACTGATATTACAAGATTTTTTTGTAAACACTACAAAAAAAAAAAAAGATGCCTCTTTGATGAAATCCTGCCTACCCCACCTTTAAAGTGCAATTATCGCGGAACAAACATGTGCGTTAGCGGATTGCAATACTCGTAAGAAAGCCAATTATGATATTAGCTTCATCATGCCCCTTAAAACATTAGTGTCCGAGAGCTGAATAACTCCTACGTTACCTGCTTCTGCGACTACACCAGCAATGTTAGGCTGCAAGCTAGCACGCCCACGACTCAGAGGCGAATTGCTAATGAGCTACTGGAAAAGCCCCTCACATCATACATTTTTTCCACTCCGCAAAACCAAAACAACGCGTACTCCTTCTAAAGTGGTGACATAAGCCAAGTTGTGTCACCTTGAAAATAGTCTGATTTGAGTTTATAAACGAGAACTCGAGGCAGAGAAAATTCCTCAATCCTTTTTTGTAATCAAGGTAGTCAAGAAATCGTTTCAGCCCTACCGTCAAGTCAGCTTTTAATCAGATAAAACTTTAAAAACTGATGATCATGAGACTTGTACCGATTTTTGTACCAAGATATCAACATGCTCCTTTTTTAAATGGGTGTGTATGTGGCTTTTAGAGCTTTTGCAGCCAGCCTCAAGTGGACAAAGAAGGAACTGCAGCTCATATCACTTCTTCATTGACCCCGTCTCTCAAGACTCGAGTTTGATTGATCAGTATCATATGAATAGATCTCTTTGTCTCCTCACATTAATGTATTTATACCACATCATCTTTTTTAATATGTAGCTGCACTAAAACAAAACAACTAAGATCATATTCAGTACTGCAGGAAAGGTGCTGTTAACCACCTTTGAGAAAAGATGGACTGAAAATAACACAGACTGAAGATGACGCCAAAAGACCTGAATTCAAGAAAGTTGAAAAGAAACCTTCAAACACAGAAAAAAAACTTTGTATGAAACTTTAAAAGAAGGAGCAGAAATCTCCAGACGAGTCAGGAAGTTCAAAGATGAGTGGACCAAACTCTGAACTGTGAGGCTGACGAGAGAGGAAAACAAAAACAAACACTTTCTGAAAAAAAAGAAACTTTTGTTTTTACCGAAGACGGCTTCAATAAAACATCAAGATCGAGACAAACTAATGAAATGGGAACAAATGGTCGTAAACAAAAGCAGTGTGAAAAAAAGAGGCTGAAGAGAGAGAGACAAGTTTGAGGAAAAGAAGCTTGAATGAAATTAAGCAGAAGAAGAAAATAATCTTGACTTTGAACAGATTAAATTAGCGTACACGCCGATTCTGGATCAGTGAAGTTGTGGTGAAGCCTGAGAGCCTGAAGCTTCACTTTCAACATCATGAAGAGGATCAGGAGGAAACAGGAACTCAGGTCCATTACTGTCTGTTTTTGTCATTACATAAAGACATACACGGAGGCAGCTGAGAGCTAAACGTCTGCTTTCTCACAAAATCACTTCATTTAGTATTTCTGACCGTGTTTGATTTGAATCCCATCATCAGTTCGGAGTGTTAGAGAGCCTGAAGCTTCTGTGGGAACCGATTCAGACTGATCACATCAGATCAAATCAGAGGGACAAAAAAAATACGATAATTCTGCGGACTGGAGGCACGGGCAGATTTCCTCCGATTTCCCTGATTAACACGGACACCAAAGTTATTCATGCGTCCATTTTGGCTCCATGGTTCTTCTGAATAAAACATAAGAAGTGATGGTGAGAATTTAGCCTCAGCTGACTTTTGAGGACAGAAAGTTGAGATTTCGAAGCAACCGAAGAATCCAGATTCATAGACATAGAGGTGGGCTTGATTCCGACTCTCTGATGGATATCATTCTCCATCTTTCAATCTCAGAAAATAACAAATAACAAATAAAACGGATACCTCCCTAAACAATCATGCTAGGGTTATATTTTTAGGTATCCAGCTGGACTCGAAACTCCCTGAAATTCTCAAAAACTCGACCCTTTACCAACATCCATGAAAACAACAAGGATTATTTTTCATGCTATAGCGCCACCTTGTGGGTATATAGCACACCAACATTTACGTACAATGTAGGGCCGCACAATTTATCCTTTGAGCGTCGTTATCGCATTGTATGAGTACGCAATAGTGACATTGCAGAGCCTGCGATGTTGGAGGCGAATGAACTAACTAATTTCGATCCACCAATCACATTCGTTCTTTACTCAGTTGCCAATCAGACTACCCTGCCAGCCGTCAATCAAAATCAGAGAGGAGGAAACCACGCCCCTGCACATGGAGTGAGTCGCTGGCGCTGCTGGTGTTGAGCTGAGAAACGCATGTCCGGTGAGAATTACTTTCGGAACATTCCTCATCAATGTTTAGCCCCACAAATAAAAACTGTATGGGTTTGAAATTGTACATTTCCGTGGACTGCTCTACTATAAGCGGTGCGTGTTTCTGCGAGGTGCATGCAATCCTTGGCGTTTCTCAGCACAACACCGGTAACAACAACAACAATCGCAAAATGAGCAACGAACGAGAGAAAACGGAAAGTCAGTTATCTGGAATTATTTCGGTTATAAGAAGGATGACGTCGACTAAAACACGTTTTGTGTTTATCTGTTGCTACAACAACATCCAAGCACAATAAAAGCGACAGACAGAAGCCATTTTACTAACATTTTCAAAGAGATGTAAGATCAGAGCAGGTTAACTGTCCACATAAAGCATAAAGTGATATTCAGGTCATCTGGTGAAAATTCCTCTATTTGTTTATATCCCAACATTAATCGCAGGGTTGAAAAAATTGCAATGTTAGTTTTTTCCATGTCCAATCCGCCCGAAATTTCACATCTTTATCTACATACACGAATTTTAGTCAGAAACAACTCAAACCTCCATCTTTGTTGGACTGGATGTGAATGAAGTCCAGACTGCTGAGTGGAGAGCTGTCCATTAGCTCGGCCTCATCAGCTAACTTGGCTCTTTACTGGCTCTTCACCCCCATAAATCCATCCAGCAGGCCGTTCTGCCTCCTCATCAGAGAGCATCCAGTCTGAGCCGCTGATTTGGACCCTCATTAGATCCTTTATCTTATTAGCTCAAGTCTAACAAACACAAAGAAGCTTATTTGTGCAAAACTACAATTCCAAACAACATAACTAATTTAGTCTGACTGTCTTCTTGGAGAATCGGTGCAAACCTGAACTGTTATTTATTAGCAAAGTGCTTTTAAGGTTTCTAAAGAGAATCTACATCAGTGTCCAAAAGGTGGCAGCAGCCCTAATGTCGCCCCTCAAATCAAAATCTGTGTGGCATCATGGCGTTTTTAGTTTCAACAAGTCTGGAGACCCAAACACACCAAAGTCTTCGTAGTGTTTGTGGTGTCCTTGTTTATTTGGACTTTTTCCTCTTTCATAAGAAACACCAGGGAGTGAAATTAGACTTTGTCGAGTTTTATATGTTGATAAGGGACAAATACTCACACAGCAGACATCACAAACAGACATTTACAATCTATTTGGATCATTTAGCAAATATTTGTGCAGGGGCTCAGAATCAGATTCGTACCCAGTGAGCTGTTTGACGAGCTTGTCAAGGATGTTCAAAGTGGAAGGATTGGAAATGTCCTCAGATAGAGGCTGAGATGGAGAGGGGTAGAAAGATCGCCAGCTTGGCAGGTGATTGGCTGGGTCAAAGGTGTGTCCTGGAGATCAGCTGGGAGATGGTGACAATACTGCAAGTTGATATTGTGGTTTATTGTCTAGTTGCATCTATATTGTGACATTTTATCGTAAAAATCTGATATCATGGCCACCCCAGGTCTCGCTAAGTTTTTGGTTTTATTTTGTGAAGTTATGAAGGTCTGAATCGCCATTTTTAAATCTGTTTTCTTCTATTTTTGTTAGATGGAGCCATGAGTGATTGATTTTTAGCTCCTTCATTTCTCAGGTTAGTCTCTTTTAACTTTTATCCATTCGTCGACTTTAAACCTCGAGAAAACTTGAGGTTTTCGGTTCGGGTTGTGTCTGAGCTGCCCCTCAAAACTGAACTGAACACAACGCTCACAAACACCGACTCAACCAGGCGCTCACTCAGGGAAATTATTCTGATTTGTGCCGCTCAATAACTCATGTAAAGAGGTTAATAAAATAAACACCCCGGTACTTGACTCCACTGTCCTAGAGGCGGTAATGTTCGCTATTTAACACAGTTATAAATATGATTTCTCACAGCAGAGGGATGTAGGAGGATAAAACAACACAGGAAGACACAAACAGCAGAGTGTGAAGACTCCAGACAGATTACACAAACAGACAGACAGACAGACAGACAGATATTTTCAGGGACTTTTCAAGGTTTGATTGGCTATCATCTCTCTCTCTCTTTTTCTATGTCTCCCTCTTTTTGGTCCGGCGTACACAGGTGGGTTTGAGGAATCTGCTCCTCTCTCCACAGGAATGATGTTCTCCACCTGCCGTCACAGTCAAACTGACAAACCGTTCAAACCGTGAATTATCCTTTTAGTGAAACAAAACCTGAAGCTAATGATGTTTTATTCAGCAAGAAAACGGAATAATGAGTGAATAAATCTGGATTTTACTAATTAGCACACCTGCAGTTACTGGTGATAGAAGATAACGGAAGATAACAGAGTCGGAAATTCATCTGGAACACCCGCCTTAAGTCGGATTTCCGACTCAGAAAGTCCGACGATCCTCACCAACCCCAACTTGACGACGTCATAATCCAAGATGGCAGCGCAGTGCATCAACGCTAAAGAGCAACAGTGAAAGCTCTTGTAATTTATCATTTATTAGCACTTCTGTTTTGTTTTTGTGAAATTAAATAAGTGGTTTATGATGTACTGACCAACGTCTAACTGTGAACACTGTGCTGCGGTGTTTATAAGAGTAAAATACTGGGTTATATGTGTGTTTACAACTGGTATAGCTAACATCAACTAATAGCAACTGACAATTGTAAACAACAGCTAACAACGGCTAACTGTAGGCGTCCATCTTGGTTTTTCGGACTTGTTTACTTGAACGCCGTCAACTTGAGTGTAACGTCATTCCCAACTCTGACATCGGACTTCCGAGGGAAATGGAACACAGCATAATTTTGTCCATTTTGGCACACCGTAGTTAGCAGCGTCTTCATTTCTTCTACGACTGCAACACCATAATACCTTTGAGCGGCACATTTCACTCCTAAATGGCTGAGCTGACACGTTAGGGTCAAGATATAGGAAGAAGAAGCAGCAGCTGCTATCGCGCTAGCTTTTAAAACTGACATTCAACGTCTACTGTGAATCCAAATACATAAATAAATGTTAGAGCTTGTGTAGGGTGACCAAACGTCGTCTTTTACCGGGACAGGTCCTCTTTTTATGGGGCTGTCCATCTTTGTCCGGGAGAGTTTATAAAATCCTTCAAATGTCCACGGTTTTGTACGTTGGTTTCTATTTTGTGTCACATGGACTTACTGAGTTAGAAGCACATAAAAGACACTTGATCCGACCCGAAAAACTCTCAAACTAACTTCGTGCGACTCTGTGACTCCGCCCCCGTCTAGTCGTGTCCTCTTTTTGGGAAGTCAGAATATGGTCACCCTGAGCTTGTGCCTCTTTTCCAAACTAATTAACTTCACTTTAATACCTTCTCACCTGTTTTCATTCCCCTAAGTAATTTGCGATCTACAGGAAGTAGCACACTTCAAAATAAAAGCACAATCTGTTCCAAAAAGTAGTCCAAAATGACGTGCATAAGAGATTTTCAAATTGACGGTGCACCATTATGTCCTCACAGAAATAGTCGTCTAAGTGTGTGTGTGTGTGTGTGTGTGTGTGTGAGCACGTGTGGCGTTCGTCTGAGGAGTGGGAGTTTGTGCAGCATGGCAGCTGCCATGTTCACTTTCTGTTGTTTAGTCACATGCTGCTCCGAATTCACACAAACACACACGCTCACACACAGACACTAACAAGTCTACGCACACATAATCAAAGCAAACACCGTGACAAATAAAGAAACACTCACACTGTCTGATACCAACATTTACACACACGCACACACACAATCATTCATACACAATCAAACACAGACACAGAAATAGAAACATTCAAATACGATTACCAGCTGTACAAACTACACCACAACAAACAGGAAGAAACACACAAACACACACCTGTGTGGTCCACTTGACTCAAGATTTTACTGATTCATGACGACGGGGGGGCGGAGTAACTCTGGGAAGGTGGGTGATGATCTTAATCCCATTACAACGTTTATATTAAAAGGGATATTCCAGCGTAAAATTAATTTAGAGTCAAACACACCGTAACACAGAGTTAGATCCCCCCTCCAGAGATGAATGTTGTCGACCGCTTGCTTCTCTACTTATACCAACTTTAGTAACGACCGCAGGATAGTAATACAGAGAGCCACGCGCTCAACCAAAACACCACTCTATAGCCACAAATAATGCTCAGAACAGCACCTAACTTCATCAACAGGACATATAGGGTCACAGACATAGTACTAGACACCAAACATCTTTGTAACTTTGACTCATTTCTTTAGCAAAGAGACTAAACACAACTCACCTACTCTCTTCCAGCAGACGCTTGTTTGTAGAGAGACCTCAGGCCAGTCCATTACAGACTACAGCGGGGTGACTCAGCTCAAGGAAGAACATTTATGATCATTTCTTTATCATTTCCTTGAAGTAATAGTCCATAATCGACTGGCCTGAGGTCTCACTACAAACAAGCGTCTGCTGGAAGAGAGTAGGTGAGTTGTGTTTAGTCTCTTTGCTAAACAAATTAGTCAAAGTTAAAAAGATGTTTGGTGTCTAGTACTATGGCTGGGACCCTATATGTACTAACCTCAGTAAAACATGGAGTAGTTCCGTTTAATAACAGAACCTCATTGGAAAATTTGCTGATTTAACTTTACTGTGCTCTTGTTAACATATATTAACTCGACAGCACATATATTCATACCTGTTAACAAAATCATGATTTTATAGATAATTCGGCTCAATAAAAACACCTTTACCATTTCATTTTAACTACAGTATAAGTTCCTTGGCACCGTAGACGTCCTCGCCAACAAACAAACACAGACTCTGTTTACACACAGTAACTGCAGAATAATCCTGCATGAAGACGGAACAATAACGTTTATACTGTTGAGCCCGATTCTTTTCCCAACATTGAGACAAACTCACAGCAGCTGAGGTGAAACTTCAGAGATTTAGAAAAGACGGACTTACACTCAGAGTTTCAATCTGTGGCCTAATCTATATTCGACACGAACACATTCAGAGCTGGACGCCTCCCAGAACAGAGCTGAATGGCTGTTTGATAACACGCACGTCCTGCCAAAGTCTCAGCGTCTAACTTTAAGAGTGTAGGAGGAGAAATACAACGGCATGAGGAGAAAAGAAAGAGCATCAATTTCTGAGTTCAGAAAGAGCCTCAAAGATGAATATTCAAGGATAAATAAGATGACGGTGGAAAATCACCTTTTAAAGCTACAATCAGGAGTTTTTCATCGGTTATGAAACAGACAAAAATGACTCCATTAATAACAAAGCTGACTGTTTCCATAAAGTGATTCCTCATTTAACACAGTTACTCATGCTGTGTCACTCTTGTACGGTTGCATGGATGAAGAAGTTATCTATAGAAACCAAAATCAATTCTGTACACGTCTGCAAACATGTTAATTCCTGCTGTAAAGTCGTTCATTTTAACACTGGGCTGAATGGAGACTCCTCCTCCACGCCCTCTAGTGGACACCTGAGGAACTGCAGGTTGCTGCTTGATTTAAATCAAACACAAGTGTCTGAAATGAGGCTCTGAAGTTTATAAAAGAATGAGACGGCTTTAATAATGTTGGTAAATCTAAACAAAAGATGGATATACAGACAGTTTTAATCCACGACGCACAGGTGTCTCAGACTTTTATGGCCTGTATTGACGAAAACTGTGATAGCATTAGTTTTACAAGCTGTCTGCTGTGTCAGACTTTTTAGGTTTGAGTTGAAAAAAAGCCCCAGAGCTTCATCCACCTTTCAAACTAAAACTTGAATCAAGTAAACTTACCAACACTGGCACCTCCTCCTTCTATGACGTCCAAGTAGCAGCTTAGCTTTGACACTTTCCAGTCCAATCACCATTAGAAAAAAATATATATATATCCATTTCCTCTCCTGCATTAAACCTCCAAATCTTCACTCCCTTCCCTGTGATCCACTCATCATTCCTGTTCGTAGTCAGCTGGATTATCACCTCTTTCCACCAAGTGGTAAAAATCCTTTCCAAACATTTTCAAACTGAGGGGAAGTTGGTGAGGGTGGCGCCAAATGTCCCTCAAAGGGGTGCAGCTTTTTTAGATGAAACTGAAGATTTAGAGAACGTTGACTGGGCTCTTTAACCTCCAAATATCAGGTACAGGTTAAATATGTTCATTTAATTCAGATCCAAACTCCTCAAAAATGCGTCTGAAACTGAATCCTTCAATCTTTAACAGGATAGCTCCCCCCTGTTACAAACACAAACTTGGTTTCCCCCTAACCAGGAAGTGTTTAGCCCCTCCCCCTTTTTGTGCATCTCCAGCTGAAGTCCAACCTTTTCTTTTTAGGGAGTGGACAGATTGAAACGAGTATAAATGTGTGTTTTAAATGAGGATAAATGGTCCTGCGGCACTCTTTGTGTTACAGATCTCATTAAGCTGTCCTCTAACTCCTGCAGCCTAACAGCCCAGAGAGAAGATTCCAGTATATTTCTTCTCTACTTTTGTCAAAGCGCTCAATAAATCTGGGCCTGGTTTGTGTGTCTAAACAGTGGAAACTCTCAGTAAATCCATCACTCACTGTCTGCGGCCTGATTGATGTTTCCACCGGGAGACTCTGTGATTGAGAGCCACTGCTGGCTCACAGCACTGATCCCATATTAAAGTCCACTGACTGCTGTATAAATAATTTAAGCCCTGCTCTTTTAACAACAGCACTTCATGCACTCCGTTAAAATGAAATGAGATGTAAGAAAAGATGGGGGGACGATGAGACGAGTCGGGATGCAAAACTGTCCTGTCGAAACACGCCGAGGACACCCTGAGGGTCCTCTGCACTGTGGAACGACACCAAATAAAGAGTTTTATAGATCTAGAAACAGGCGGAGTAGGCAGAGTCACATTCAAAATAAAGACGAGCATCTATTCAGCTGTTTTCTATAACCTTATGTGTTAAAATGTGTTTTATTCATATGTCACCAGTTAGCCTCTGCAGGAATCTAATGTTACGAACTAGGTTTTTGAAACGAGAGGTATCAGACCATCGAACGCAGCGCAGATGCATCTGCAAAGGACTCGCTCTGTCGTAACCATGGCAACATCAGATCTGGTTCTGCTCGAGGTCTCTGCCTAAAATTGTGAGTTTTACCTCAGGAGAATTTTAGTTTCTAGTCCATAACATGATCTAAACCTGCTCTAACCACGGCAACTTTTAACACATCCGTCAACAGACTATAGGTGTTTTTGTGGCGTAAGGACATAAGGACAACCCCTGTGATGGTACATTTCGGCTGTCTACCTCTAGTCTTGAGTCTGTGTCTGCAGGAGGTTTCTGCCTGTTGATGTGAAAATAAAAAAAGACAATTTCAATTAAAAAAAATCTCCACAAACACTGTTTGGAAGAGGCCCACCAAAACAGACCGAAGCACAGGTGTACCAGTCTGTAAAGGAAGACGGCAGCTTAACTAAAATATGGTTCTGTTCAAGGTCTCTGCCTAAAATTGTGAGTTTTCTCTCAGTAGAATTTTAGCTTCTGGTCCATAACATGATCTAAACCTGCTCTAACCACGGCAACTTTTAACACATCCATCACCAGACTACACGTGTGCACCTACGTGGTCTTTTTGTCGGCTGTGTTTTTGTGGCGTATTTGTGTAAGGATGTCAGCTCCGTTGCAGTATCGTATCGAGAGCAGCTCTGCTAAAGATATGCGGAGAGTCTATTTTTGCTGCTCTGCCGTTCTAATGCGCATCAATCCACACAGAGAAGATCGTTTTAGACAGGAAGTCAAGCATGAAAAACGTGCATGTCATCCGGTATTTCAAAATAAAACAGCATATGTGAACTCCCGACTGTGTATCAGTTGGTGTAGCTGAGAAATCCTTCCTGGTTGTGGATTTATCAGTAACACAGAACAATCTGATGGTCGATCCCTGATAAAGGAACAGAGTTTACTTTATTAAACACCAGGAAACCTGCAAAAACACAAAACTGTGAAATCAGGTTGCTTTTCACAGACAGTAGAGGCTCAACAGTCACTGAATTATATCTAAATTATCAGGAAATCGACCACAGAAAGAAAACAACCTGTTGTGATCATGTTGTTTCCTCTATACTGAGCCCAGCTGACCGGTGCTGCACTACGCTGCTGCTACGCTACAAACACGCTGATCCTGTATGCAATAGACAATGCTGCTCTACGGAGCAAATACAAAACATGCTCAATACAGATCCTGTATGTTTTCCACTTGAGAGTCGTGGTCTAAACCTGCTTTAAACTGTATCGGGTATCTTTTGTTTTAATTCGGTGCCTTTCATTTACCTCTTTATGTGATGAAATGATCCAAACCTTCACCTCTTCACTGTTTACAGACATGTTCTGGTCAGATACTGGGATGTGAGGCCTGGTTAGACTCAGGAAGAGAGGCAGCAGCAGAGTCTGAGAGTCTGCAGTCTATCAGGGTTTGAGCTGAAGCTGTTCAGTCTGATTAATGTCTGAATCCTCCGACAGGATGATGAACAGAGTCACTGTTCTGGAGGAGAAGCTGCTCGCTCTCAGATTGATCTGTTTTGTCTTTGATACTTTATTATTGGGCCTCCTGTGCAGCTGCTGTCTCATGGACCGGCTGACTGATGTTGTATTAGTGCGACGCTGCAGCAAAGATGTTTTCACCCGGATAATGATGAATCAAAACGCTACCACGTGGCTTTTTGGTCGGTTTAATCTCCAGACATGCTGTATGTTGCAGTATTAGAGTGTCAGATTTATTGGCATTAGCTACAATCGAAGGAAATCAAGAGCTGGAGAGGTTTGCAGCAGCGCTAACACACTGTATCCAAGGTTCAGACTCACATGTCCTCGTTGGGCGACCATAACTCCTCTCTAAACCAGAGTGATGTCAAATCTGAAGCCTGAATATCCAGAATAGCCTCCCTCCCTCCCAAAACTCCCCGGTCCCTTCAATTATTCAGCTTTGGCAATGAGGATGAATTACTCCTCCAATCTCAGGCTCCAAAAACGGCAACAGTCTCATTATGATTTTAATGGGTCTGCTACAAGAAGGATGAGGGAGAGGAGGAAGATGATGGAGGACTGGACGGGTGGAGGCCTATTTTTACTGTCACATATATTCTCCTATTTTTGGTGACGGATCATTTGACTTCTTTGGTGAATTTTACACCAGAGCCCGAATAAAACGAACCAACCCGTCACCGAACGCCGTCTCTGTGACCGGTGAAGTTTCAGCCTCTCTGTTGTGAAAACTTGACCGACTCCTCCGAAGTTTTAACTCCCTGACTTCAGATTCTTCACCGCGGGGACGGGAGCCTCTCTCCTCTTTATTGATTGTGGACTCA